TGCTTTAGAATAATGTCAAACTTAGTTTATCTAGAGAATAAAAAACCGTAGGCCTAACTATCCAGGTAGTCTGCTCCAAATGACAGTAAAATTATGTGAGAAATTGTTATTTATACTGGTCTAACATTGTTGTCTCTGAACAAGTTGTCTTTGACTGAAGTAAGGCATTTTCATAAAATCCACTGTTGGATTTGAAGAAGGTAACAATTAAGGTAATAACTTAGAGTAAAATATAAAGTTCGATGTAGTCAGCTATGTTTCAAAGGATTCGAACTATAATTCATCTCAAGCTGTCTATCAAAAATATCTGTTATGCTTACAATATACGTAAAATCACTTATCTTAAATAAAAATAAACTTCCAGTTCACTTTACCTGTGGTGTATGCTACTTATGTCGACAGACATAGAGAGTATACAACATCAATCAGAAGTGAAATGCATGGCAGCAGAAAACTAAGTAGATCGAATTGAAAACAGAAAGAAAAATAGGGAGGAATCGTGAATTGGAAGAATCATACAGAATATAAAAACAGTTGATGAAATATTTGAAAATGAAGTATTTTATGTATAGCTCTCATATTTTACCAAGCTACTCTGTAATTTTGTATTAAAATACAATTGGTTATCTCAACCTGTGTTTTCATTCACAAAATACCAACAGTATATTGACCTACTGCCTCATAATTAAGGAATGTTACAAAATGTACACTTGTCAGTTATGTGATATATAGTAGTTGATCGATAATATTTTTGGTCAGTTCGTGAGAACTACTTAGGAAGGATGAAACTGTACAAATGACTTATAGATTAGTATTACATGTGATAGACACTATTTGTAGAATTGATTGTTAATAAGTAATATTCAGTAACTTATTATAGTTTATTGTGAAGTTAGAACGAATGGATACTAAAAAATGTAGTTAACTGTCTTGTGGAATTTTCTTTTTATTTCAAGAAATGTCTCCATTATCACCTTTTAGAATTAGTACTGTGACGAAAGTCATGTACTTTAGTAGTCTTTTTATTTCAATCACAAAATCTATGTTTACTTAAAAGTTACGAAATCCGTCTTCATTAAACGTCTGTTTTAAAAGGAAATACTGAATTTCTTCAATGCGTACTCCTCGTTCCAAAAAATAGTAAATTTCCTAAACACTGATGACATTAATGTTGCAAATCGTGAATTATTCACTGACACCCGCATTATATATATAATACATAATTACCATACAACTATAAATACTGATGTACAGCTTAAGTCAATGATTTCGTTATAAAGAAAATTTTCTTTGCTGAATTGTTTATTTATAAATTATGAACAATTCTTAATTCATATACCTGAACTTTAAATGATGTATACTTACATTAAACATGCCCACTTTTTGTATAATTAATTTGGATATATAATTGTTGAACCTGAAGAGAATCGATGGACAAGAGTATTCTTAGTTCATATATCCACGTTTTAATAAGAAACACTACTCTACTCATAACTATACAATAGCAGAATAATTTATTTCATAGGCTTTAACGTTTTAGACTACTCTGTTCATAAGCTTTTTAGGCAAAGATGAGTAGTGGCTAGCAGTGGAATCCAGGACGCGCGTTTTGCCCTATTTGGGACTCGTCAGGACCCGGTAGCGATGGCGTTTGAAGCGAATAGTACTGGGTTCAAGTCCCGGGGTGAACACCAACTCTGGAACGCAGGTGCATCCAGCTGACGAGTCCCAAATAGGACGAAACGAGCATCCTGGATTCCACTGTTAGCCACTATTCATCTTTGTTTAAAAAGCTTGTGACTTAAGGCTATATTGAGGCATCCGTACAGGATGCACATATGCCAACACGAGACTGATCAATCTCAGTGCTAAATAACAATGGGAAGATGCAAGTAAAACAATACCATGTGAATTTACTCTGTTCATAGGTAATTACAATAACAACTTAAAGTATCCATACACATTTCATAATTATCCAATCATTCAGAGAATGACGGATTGAAGAAAAATTAAATAATTTACATATTATCATGAGTTTCTTTATTTATTGTTATTGAATGAGTTAAAATACTAGTGTATCTACTTGTCGATTAAGTAATGAGTATCACTATTTCAAATTGACAAGTTCGTATAACCGATATTCTTGAAAAAAAACAACACCAACACATAATTTTTATTCTTATATCCACTTAACAATAGTCACTAATTTGAAAATGAATCCCCTATGAAGAGATTGTGTCTTGCATGTTGAAAAGATCATAAACTAATCAAGAGCTCATGTTTATGAAATTCCAATTAACTTTTTCACAGGTATCTATGTAATATTAAATTACTTTTGTGCAACAACAACAAAAAAATCTTTTCAAAAATGTATCTGCTATGATGTAGGTATACAAGAATTTACATTTGCACAAAATTGTTTCTTTATGTTATTTATATAAAGTTTATGATTTTTTTTTTAGAAAAAAAAGTATAAATGATCAAGGATGTATTTACAAACACTTTCGATACATAATTTAGACTACACTGATCTTGTCTTATAGATGAGTCATTTTATAACACTTTATTTTATATGCGCAAAACTAAAGATCTCTTTGTTATATCTTAACGAAGATTAAAGTATGTGTAACTCCTGAGACCTATTTGTTAGATCTCGATAAGAATAATGAATGGTGATTTTTGAGATCCACTTATGGACCAATACTATGAGTATATTTTTATCGTGTAATTGTTATGTAATCATATTCATGCCCCTCTCATTAGGAGTTTGTTTTGACCTATGAACTATTATTATACGTTTTACCATTCTTGAGTTATGGCCTGTTTATTAATTACTATATCCCTCATTCACAGCCACTTTTGGCCAAATATTCTACAAATGTTATTTTCTATTTTATGGTACGTTGTAGTCTGTTTGATTGGTAATATAAACCCCGTATGTTTGAAATAAAGGATTCACATCACAGAGGTTGAGATTAGTGTTCTGGACTCAACTGGCTGTGCTAGACAGGGAAACAGGACCAATCAGGACTCTGGGCCGCTCGCACGTGTTTTCTGCGTCACTGGTTCAATCGATAATTCGCTGCTCTCTAATTGGCGGTATCATTGCGTTATACAATAAACAGGGCACACAGATTTCACAAGATATAACACTCTTAATGGGCCAATATTGTCCTACATATTCTTGTGGTATGACTATTCAGTAATTAGATTATGTATATCTATATTCCCCCTATTATAAGCTTTATTTTGGCCAATAGATTGTTATTGTAAGATTTACTGTTTTTAAGTTTTGTTCAGTTTATTGATTACAGTCTCCCATGTTCACAGCCTCTTTTGGCTTTAATGTGTATAAATGTTACTTCCTATTTTATGGTGCGTTGCGGTCTGTTTGACTGATATATAAACCGGGTATGTCTGAAACAAATGATTCGTACAGCGGAAGCTGTTACTAGTGTTCTGAACTCAACTGGACGGGCTAGGCGAGCAATGGACCGATAAGCTGAACGGACCGGTTGGACGTCATTGGTTCAATACAGTACAAGTCGTATTTCGATTGGTACATAAATTACATGATAACAAGCCGGACTTAAAGTCACGAGACTCTGAACCATATAATGGTTTTCAGATTCATATGAATATCCTTTTTGTAAGAAACTCATCATCTGTCAACAAATTGTCTAAAAAAATTTTTAAAACGAAGCTATTCTTAACTCTATTGCAGAACAGATGAATTGTCAAGTGAACGAACACCTTTTAAGTAGGTTGACATCAAACGTCATTAACGAATTAAAGTGTAATTCATTTTTCATTTAATGGTACAATTTTTTTTTTAAATTCTATCTTCAAGTCAATTACTATTTAGTTTAGCTAAAAACATTTCATTCATTATAAGCCTTAAATGATATTTCACTCCCACTTCATGAAACTAACCGTAAATCTTACTGATCAACTTGAAATGAATGTTTAATATGAATTTTCAGAGTTTTTCCATATCCGTTTTACAGAAATTATAATATATCCTATTCAACTAATCGTTTGTACATATGTAGCTTATAACCACAATAATGTGTAAAACACTAAATTGAAACACGAAACAAAATTTACAATCCAATATCACTAATAAACTGAAAAGCGCCCTTATTCTTTTTATAATTGACAAACTTTACATTGTCAAAACGGAAAATAACTATTGTAGTACACACCGCCATTTAAGAGAATTCTATTACAAATTAGTTATTATTTCATAAATTCAATAAAACAATTATTTAATCTATTCAAAGATGGATAGTGGCCAACAGTGGAATCCAGGAAGAGCGTTTCGTCCTATTTGGGACTCGTCAGCTGGATGTACCTACATTTCAGAGTAGATGTTCACTCTGGGGCTTGAAATTAAGGCTATATCGAGGCAATACACATAATATGCATATATACCACTAAAAGACTGATTAATTACACTCCTAAATAACAATAGGAAGATTCAAACAAACAATACCAAGTGAAATGAACTATTCAATCTGTTATTCTGCATCATTATTTTGTATAAAAAAAACTGATCAAATAATTACATATTCGTACAAAACAAAATATGAACGAAATAGAAACAATGAATCAAAATAATAATATAAAATAATAATAGCAATAATAATAATAATAAATTAACAAGTTAAAACAATTAGTATCCACAATAGTAATTAAAATTAAGTCTTGTAAAAGGTAACTATCCATTTACAAAAAAAATAATCAATAATACACAAAACGGTAAATAGAAAAGTACACCATAAAAAGAAAAGACAAAAAAAATACATTTTCATTGTCAAAATCAGCAATATTAAACTGTTGATATGTTTTGTTTTGTTTTTCCTGTATACAACGACGTTACTAATCAATTTAGTTTTCAGTAGTTTATTTATAAGATAATATACAGTAAATAGAAAAGAAAACAAAAAGAAGAAATGCCAGATTTAAAAGTAATACAGAAAAACCATACAAGCAATAATTTAATCGAGATCTAACCAATATCTTGGTACCCAAGTTGGTTCACGTTCAAGTTTAATAGCTAAACGAATTAATTCTGTAACTGTTGAATCCAATGTTTCAGGAATAATTACTCTATCAAACCAATGACCAAAACGTAATTCCATTTTACGACTTGTTTCAATACATGCTTTCAATTCATCATTCTATGAATGAATCAAAATCAAAATGTAAAATAAAATATTACTCATGTAAAATAACAATGAAAATAATAAATAAATTTGAGTTTTTTTTAAAGTTTAGTATCCAAATAACAATTACAGTATATAAACTGATTCTTAAACGATTGGTTCTTTGTCATTGTTGGTACTGACTAGTTGCCTTCATCAGTAGAACTTATTTCTTTTATTATTCCAAGAAAAAAAAATACATATTGTACAGTGCCAAAATATAAAAAGGAAAAGAATATATATGTGATACAATCAAAATGATTAATAATCTGATCTGGGGTTGATATGAAAAACTACAAATTTCAGTCTGTTTAGAAAATAAATTTACACTTGTATTTCAAACTCCCCTGGATAGTGAATCTGTGTTATGCAATAGGGTACAAATGAAAACTATCTCATGATCGAACTATTGAGAAATCGACTGGAAAAACATTCAGATTACATGCTTCACATGACTTGATTCTTTTCATATTTATTGTTTAAGCTTTGGTCTTTGAAGAAGGGTAATTTAATCTGTAAATAGTCTCAGTCACCCAGGGTTTTAATGAAAATGTAATGTAGTCATATCTTGAAATTGACATTATTTGTTTATTTTAGAGTAGTACAACACTTCGACATAACCTCATGTTCTCTGTAATTTATCTGAATAAATTTCAAAAATAGTCACATAACAATTTACTAAATTAATCGAAAGTTTAATTTGGAAATGAAATTCCCGGTTGTTATTGTTAATAGTAGTGACCATCTTTATCGTACCTATATCGATACTGAGATTAGAACAATTCAGAAATATCATTATTTTGTATGATGTACTCAGCAACAAATTATAGTTTTCATTTGGATATATTTGTCCAGTTTGATTTAAAATTAGTCTGATGACAAGCTCATAAATCTAGGACAGTTTTGGGATGTTCAGAAAAATATCCCGGAAATTATCCTGTTAAGTCTAATGCTATCCTTGAACGTGAAATGGTGTCATTTTCGTATTGGTTAATATTTATTTCACGTGTCGTTTCCCTACTGGTCAATATTTATTTTACGTGCCATTTTCCTATTGGTCACTAGTCACGGTAGTCCTGACTGTATAAATATGCATTTTTCTGTAAAGTATCATTCCTATTCTTATTCTTCTCCTGATCCGATAAACAATTTCATCTACGGTTCGTGTTCTGATATATTGGAGATTAGGGAACAGTACTGGGGTCGTACTGGGATATCTGAAGTTGGTAAGTCGGTAGAAATTAGAGTAGTCACCCCGCGGTCCACAATAGAAAACATAGTCAAATCGAGGAAATCTGTTCAAAATTCACAAGTGTCAAAAAGAAATTCATTAGGTGCTTTCCCCAACATTAACAACTGGAAGGTATAAATACAAATATTAATTAACAATGTTTTGAATTATTAAATACGTATACATTTGTGACAGATGCTGAAAGCGAAACAGTTTACCAGTAACTATAAGAAGTATTTCCATGTTCTCTGTAATAAGTTACCTAATGGTGTTGGTTTACTCCATGTCATTTTTTTTTAAAAAAAAGTTCTTTTTTAGATTTTAGTTTTTCAAAACGACTTGTTTTAACTGCTAGAATATTAAATACCATATTGTTTAGGATGATTCTTATAAACCTAACAAATCTATACTTTAGAGAAAATAATAATTAATGAGTTATTATATAAATATAACTCTATTTAGTAATGAATTATCGAATATTTGAAAACATTACACTTGTCTTCTCCCATATTTATTTTCTGACTAATCTGTTACTTCAAACATATCTGCTTGATCTGTTCAATAATGATGAATAGCTTTTTAAACAATTTATCATTTCAGCTTATGTGTTTCCAGCTAGAAGCATTTATCCAACTAATGAACCATCAGCTTGTAGTATAATAAGCGAAGATTATTTCCGATATGTGAGGAAGGCTCTCAGGTGAACTCAAGGAAGCTCTGAAAGAGCCGAAGATATTCCATCCTATTAGCTTTTGGGAGGAATCTCGACATGTAGCTTCCTGATTGGACAAATGCTAAGAACCCCTGCATGCGTATTGGATGACTGTAGTGATGATTTCTTTTTTTTTTACTAAAAACTATAAATACCTGAGTGTTTTGTACCATATTCAACACTGTTAGAAATAAGATTCCTCCCCATTCGTCCTCTGTCTTCTAGTTTGAAAATTGGAGGGTTCAAGAGTTCGTGTGCTCAAAGTTGTACACGGTATAGCAAAAATCTAAGCTCTAGAATATAATATGATAGTTGCTTCAATTCTATTTTATATCATCAAATATGTAGTGAAAAATTTGTAAATCCTTAAGTTTTAACCAACACGGAATAAATAATGCATCATGATTTATTCACAAGTTTAATCAATCAGTTCACATATAATAAACAATTGAAAATAATTATAGATACATGAGCTTTAGTTGGTGGTTGGAGGTAGTCAACAGGAAACCCTGGACTCGGGTTTCGTGCTACTTGGCACTCGTCAGCAAGGTGTACCTGTACTCATGAGGGAACTGGTGCTCCCTGGCGGATTCGATCTCGTGTCACCCAGCTTCACAGTCAGAGACGTTACCACTGAGCTATCCTGTTGACTACCTCCAACCACCATCTAAATCTCAATACATAGTGCCCGCAGTGTCGAGTCACCTAGACTGGTGGCCACATTGCAACATGATCGATAGCATTCGATCTGCACTAATAAGGACTAACCAATCATGACATTGATCACCACCCAGTGATCAATCAATTGAGATACATGAGCACACATAAAAAGGAAATTACTTATCATCAACAAATAAATTGTAATATATGAATTAATTAGTTGATTAATTGACAAAAATCAATTTGAAACTTACAGAACAATTACCAGTTAGATTTAAATTTTTACGTAAACGTTGTAGATCATCTACTCGTTCTGGCGGTGAAATAAATATTACATATGGATCAAGACCACTTGAACGTATTTTACGTAAAGACTATAATAATAATAATAATAATAATAATAATAATAATAATAATAATAATAATAATAATAATAATAATGGTAATTATAATAAAGTTTTTACCGTAAAATTCAATTAATAATAATTTGACAAATAATGATTCAGTTAAGTTTTAACAAGCATATGATGCTTTTTCTTAAATAGTAAATCCAATTAAGGAATGGTTTTGTTGTAATTCATTCTAAGTATGCATTAATTTTTTTTTAAAAAACTGATGTTAACACCTACTCGACTTTTCTGTGTTGTTTAAGTGTTTTGTAATTCAGACATTGTTAACTCTGATTAGACATAAGATGAATTGTGTCGATCATAAATTTTATATAACCTATACGTAGTGCTTAATATTAACATTATATGTAATCATGAATTTAACGTCGATAGTATGATTTGAATAATTTTTTGGTTAGTGTGTTTTTAGCGAGTTAGTTTTCTAGGGGATGGGGTCGCTAACGCTATGACCACCCCTCCTCCTTTATCCAGGTTTGGAACCGACAGTAGCCCACGAGGGGCTCCAGGCGTAAGTAAGTTTGATTTAAGGAATTAAATTTTCCTTTACTCGACAAATGTGATAAGTATTTGTCGGTAAATATGTTAGATAATAGGATTGATTAACAATTAAATCCAGTATACGTGATTTATCCTATTTGACAGACTGGTCGGGCACAGTTCTGAAATAACAACAATGGGAATATATTAAACCTTACAGTCAATTATTATCATTATCATGTTTCATATGACGAACAACGTAATGTAGGGTTATGTTATCGGTTGGCTTTATCTGAAATGATTTGTGTCACCAAGTGATAGGTGTTCATAAAAATCAAGTTTAATGACACAAAGTGAAAGGATATCAAAATATGGCCTAACTTGTCAGTAAAATATAAGTCAGTTTACAAAGTAAAAATGATACGCTTGAGGTCAAAATATCTAACAAAAAATAAATATGATTGAAATTGGTTTAAAATGTCAATAATTGTTAGATGTTCAATTTGTAGATCATTCAGGAATTTGTTGGATAAAAGTGTGATCATCAAGCTTGCTTATTCCCAGTTATATCAACACTTGTTGAACAAGATTGTGATTACTTTTGATCCAAGTAGTCAGTTAGATAAATCGTTAGATCCTGAATATATATATATATATATATATATATATATATATATATATATATAAGTCAACGCTGAAAAATTTGCCTAGTGAAACTTCAGTTACCAATCAATTAATCGGAAAGCAAACCGTAAACCTTCTAAATAGAACGAGGAAGAACAAACTTACTTGAGATCTACAAAATACCATTTTAACACACGAGTATCTAAAACTGAACGAGATAACTAAATTAAACAGAGTATATTTGTACATATAAAGCCTTCAACATACAATTTCTCAGTACATTTTTATCAGTTATTATTGTGAATCACATCTTGTTTACGGGTTGGAGTTACTACTAATTGTTTCAATCACTAAGTTACGATCAACTAACACTATAGTGTGAGCTACTTATGCAAACAGATATAAGTATTATGTAGCAGGAGTTGGAGGTGGAATGTTTACCAGTAGAAGATTGAAATAAAAAGAAGTGAAAGAAAAACAGAGAGCAATCAGAATAACAACAGGATTGAAAGAATGATGGAGTATGTGCAAATGGTGTATATGATCTATGACTTCCATATTTTACAAACTGAAATAAAACTGATCGTATATTAATTATGCGGCCAGCGATGGAATCCAGGATATATGTTTTCTTCTATTCATGACTTGGTTTTGGGATAGAGCTGAGTCTGTGCTGTTAATCACATTGAGACTCTAACTTAGTATCTAATGTATCAAACACCAACTCTTTACTCATTAAAGTACCGAATCCAAACAATCAATAGCTTGATCGACAGGTATAATGGTACTAGTAAGGCTTTGTAATTTACGCTCTAATTAACTCAAACTAATCAATCTCCGTTACTGTATATGTAGCCTGGGAGGATTGATTCAAAATCAAGTCAATATAGCTTCCTGGATTCCACTGTAAAACATATAACAAATAAACTAAAACTTACGATAAAAAGAAATATCAAGACAATGTACTCAAGATATTGATTTCGTAACAGAGGTTGATCAATTATAAAACCGAATATCAACAACGGAAAGTTAAAAGTACACTGACTGATAAAAAAATTTAATTTGTTAACAAAAAAAACTTACATCAGGTCTTAAAGATATACAACATATTTTGCCTTCATTTACTAATTGTTGTACAGTTAATTTACTAGTTCCATAATAATCACGATTAAATAATCCCCATTCAATGAATTCCTTTTGTTTACGTTTTAATCGAAACTCTTCTTCTGTAATACAAATATAAGAAAATTTCGTATCTGCCTTCAAATTTGAATTTGTTGTATCTAAAAGAATAATTAAAAGAAAAAAAAGGAAACAATTACGATGTTATTAAAAAAGAATGTTGACAGCATAGTTGGCAATCATAATCAAAGACTACTGCTTCTAACAAAAAAAAGTCAATAAAATATTTAATGGATTAAAACAATCAATGATTTCATATTTATAAAATGAACAAGATAAATGAGTAACTGTTGACTCTTCAACTGGTAGTAAAGTACTGATGATTATTTATTAAAAAGAATAATTGAATACCATTCTACACAAAAAAAATCGACGTATCCTACTCGTCAGTGAGTAAACTAATGTGAAAATATATTTGATAAATTTTAGACATGTTATACATGTTTTACTACATTCGAACTGTGCTTACTATTAAATTCTTCAGAATTCGTATACTATATGTACCTGAATCCCAGTGTTGACATTCACAACCCAATTATACTAAATCTTGTTACTAGCAGGTAATATCGAGACCACTGTTCAATATGTATATATGTCGAAAAAAACTGATCAAATTTAGTCTTGAATATCAATAAAGGGAAATTATAAACCATCAGTAATATTCATATCACCGTTAGAGAACATTTATTCATAACATTTGTTGCTTAAGTGGGTGGTTGTCTGCACTTAGTCGATTGAGGAATAACGCGTTGGATGTTTGAAGCGAACAACACTGGGCTCGAGTCTCGTGTAAAAATCACCACAAAATGTGAGCACATCCAGCTAACGAGTTCCAAATGGCAAAAAACCTGGCTCCTGGATTTCATTGCTAGCTAAAAATCCATTCATTTTATTAAAAAAGTCAATTTTAAAGATTATTTTACTACATTTTAGACAGTTAAACAGATTCGCTAAATAATATCCGTAGAGATTTCTTTGGAGTAGCATTAACAGATACTATAATGTAATTTATATTTTATGCTAAAAGCCGGTCAACTATCATACTTATTCAACCACTGTTAGCATCATCATCACAAACGATTTTCGAAATGAAACTGTTTGAAAGAACAGTGATAAACTCAAAACTAGATGTGTTACTTGTAATAAATGTCACGTTACAAAATAACATTTGATGCTTAACTAATGAAGTTTATTCGTCTGAAAGGGTACTATATAAGTGACAAGAATAAAGGTTTTAGAAGCTAGTATCTCACTATAATGTATATTCAGACATGTATAATAGTATTGATAGCCATGGTATGTGTGCATAGCAGAGATCTTTTATAAACACATGATGTAATACTCTCTGAAGTTTCAAGTGTTTTCAGAAAATATTTTGTATTTTATCATACATAACATGTAGTCAAGTAGCTAAAATTGTGAAGCATTAAATACCTATTTGTCAAAATAATTACCGTAGATCAATATTTTTGTTGACAAAAATTTATGTCTACAGAAAAAGGCAACAAAATGACTTACAAATAGCCGCTTGAAAAAATCGATCAGGTTCTCGTTGAATGAGATGCTGTAAAATTTGTTGCCGTCCAACATGTGCTGGCCCAACAAACACAAGTGGCCGTCTACGAAGTGGTTGTGGGATATACTGAGCGACAGGTTCGTAAGTCCATAAACTATAATGGATCATATAACCACGAGCAACTTCTTTATCTAACCATGCCACAGGATCATCACTCGACTGTAATTCATTATCTGGGACTGAAAGTACGAAGGAGAATTACCTCTTAACACTCAAAATTAATATAAGATGCCGGCGAAAAAAGGCATAGGAGTGCAGTTTTAAAATGGTAGCTTAAATAAATCAATCAGGAATTCTTACATAAAAGTTCATTCGTAACGTAGTGTTTTTACTCTCTGCACTAACTTAATTTCAATTCGGAATTGAATACTATACACCCACGTTTGGTCCAACTGTAACTAATTATTAAGTTTTCTATGATTAACTGATGAACAATACTACTACTGTTATCATTATTATTACTGCAAGTAGTGATGTTAGCTGAAAACCTAGTTTGGGCTTGATTTTTTAACTTAAACTGTCACACTACTCATTAGTACAAAAAAAGAAATTTGATAAATTCTAAAAAGTAGAAACAAATGAAAAACACTAGATAACGAGACGATAAACACGAGGATATACAATTATAAAGTACATGATGAGTGAGTGTAAATGCTTTCTTGAAATTCACTTCTAATCACCTCGCCAGTGCTACAAAAGTTTTCGACACTACATATTAATGTTACAAGTGAATGAGTTAATATGTAGAGATTTAAGTATATTATTACTGCAATTTTCAGAGAGAATCGACTTTAGCCATGGAATTACAGAAAATTTAGGAATTACAGCACTTCTACTTTGAGACTCTTCAGCATTGAATGCACACGACTCCATAAAACAATGAGACTAAGAACTTTAGGTCACGCAGTAAACAAGATGCCCTGAGATTGCTTAGTCCTGTGGATACACCATTTCTATCATAAAAACACCATTATTTCTCTTTAAAATCTTTCAAGTGTTTTGGATTTAAAAATGTTAAATTGTTTCGATAGTTACGCATTCATGCCCCGCAACTTAAACAACTTATTAGAGCTATTCACACAAGTAAAGTATGTTAGAAACATAGTAAATAATCAATCAATAACCTTGTTGAATTCTTTTTGATGTCATTTACGCAAACTATATACTCATATTTAAAGCTACTGAAAAATACCTATTACACAGCAAATTATTTTGAAGTTTTAGATGCCATAAAAGGATTCTATATCGATTGCGAAGTTAGGGGAAAATAATATGATAAAAACCAATGTATGAGAGATAACTGTTCACTTAAAGAGTCTGAAAAAGTTATCGAACAACGTATAAACAAAAAATTTCATCTTCTTGATGTTTTATTAAAATTGTCAAAGGTCTCCCTACAAAGATTCATACATAAAAAACAAATGTAGAACTATCAATATACGAATTTCCAAAGTTCGGTTCCATTGAGCAGAAAGAGAGATTTAATTCACTCTTTATTTCCGAGAGTCAATAAACTATGATTCGATGACACGATAAACAACGAAATATTTCAACTTTGATAGATGTATTCATCAAAAATCACAATCCATTCAGGTTAACTGATAAAAACCTAAAACCGAAACCACAGCCTAAGAGGTCATACGCAGTCCGAATGAAAATCTTTTTCATGAAAATTGAGTTTAAAAGAGTAACTAAAGTATGAATTATGTGAAACAGACTTTCTAAGTCTATGAAATGTAAATGTAAAGGCACGGATTAGCGAAACAAGGACAGTGTTCCTACAGTTGAAGAACATATGGAACTTAAAACAACTGACAGCCAATATCAAAGTCACAATTGTTAACACGAACGTCAAGATAGTCCTACTGTACGAAGCTGAAACGTGAAGAACTACTACAATAATCATCAAAAAAGTACAATTATTTATAAACAATTGTCCACGTAAGATAATAAATATCCGTTGGCCGGATACCATCAATAAAAGCCTTCTGTGGGAGAGAAAAAAGCAACTTCCATCTGAGGAGAAAATTAGGAAAAGATGATGGAATTGTATAGGACACAGATTGAGGAAATCATCAAACTGCATCACGAGACAAGCGCTAATTTGCAATCCTGAAGGAAAGAGGAAAAAAAGAAGGCCAAAAGACACACTGTATCGGGAATCGGATATGGAAAGTATGAACAGCAACTGGAAAGAATTAGGAAGGATTGCCCAGGACAGAATTGGATGGAGAATGCTAGTAAGAGGTCTATTCTCCTCCATGAGGGGTAACAGGAGAAAGTAAGTAAATAAATCAGACCGCATCATACTATAAAATAGAAAATAACAATTATACAAATTCAAGCCAAAAGTGGCTGTGAGTGTGTGTGGGAATAACTTAAGAATAGTAAGTCAAATAGAAACCTATAATGAAATGAATATGAATATACTTATAATATAGGTATTTAATAATTATACAATAAGAATACATATATATACAATAACAGTCCATAAATAGATCCTAGCAGTTAACATTCACTTATTCTTTGTTCGGATATAACGAATTCTAATGATTTTTTGTTAGCTTTCAGTTAGTTGCCATTATCACTTAGATAATTCCAATTTTATAATTGTAAGGCAGAAAAATATCTTCCACATATTTATTTTTATTTTTTCGTCTTTTTTAACTTCTCGATCATTGGGCACTTCTCTTTTGACATATGAAATTTCCGGACAGCTTTTACGTTACCCTTCTTTTTATAGATTACAATACTTTTTAACTTAATATGAATACACCTGTATAGCTAGAGTAAATGATATTATAAAAGAGAAATTTTTCATTCAATGTCTGAATGGATTTTTTTCCTTATTTGATCCTATAACTCACTGACATTTATTTTGATTTTTGTTGACTTCCAAGATAAGATACCTATTTTCAAATATATCCATGTTCATTAAAGCAAACTAAGAATTATTTCTAAAACAGTTTTTAATTTTCTGTATACCACAAAATTACCCAAGAAAATGTCAGTCGTTAACGAAATCAGCTTTCTAGAGATTGACAGGGTAGTTAAGGCCATCTTTAGTAGGCAATTTGTAGAGTTACAAAAGAGCTCAGCCTATATAAATGGATGAGTGTCATACAGCTTACAGAAAAAAAATTTTAGTTACATTTCCAAGAGGTTACGTGAAGTCTTAATCAATATCAGTTAAAGTAAATAAGAAATATAAAAATTTCCCTTTATTGTTTGTAATTAAACGATATCTGTCACACCGTAATGTTTATACAAATACTTGACTAATCAACATTCAAAAAATGACTTGATTTGAAGTTGGTTTAAGTTCTAGACTGGCATCAACTGATAAGCTATTTTTCGAACCAGAAGGCACTAAATAACTATTTCATATAAGTGTTGCACTCCTTAATAATTTATACTCACGATCATGCCAGAGATCAGAACAAGAATCTACAAATCTTGCAGTAAGCAAAATTATCGTGAAAACACGTTTTTTCTAAGTGGTTTTCTAATTACTATCAGTCCATGTCTAAAATCACTTGATTGCTTGTTTATAAATCAGAGTGATTGTTTTTTGTCCTTATTTTCAACTCCAAGTTATCACTTTAGTCTCTTATTCCATTCAATGTATTACACGTTAGAAGTACAAATTTCAAAAAGTAAACTACTCATAACAAACTGTACACCAACGTACAAATAGTCAGTATAGTAAATACAAACAAACAAAAAAACATTAAGAAAATTATTTGTTGAATATAGTTATTAAACAATGACTACTAAAGAATATCACAAGCAATCAAAAGCTAACTCATATACATACATAAATAAATGGACACAAATTACTACAATAATTTGCATATATCTTTATTGATCAATGTATAACTAGTTAAAGATAGGTGCCTTTTTAGTATCATCTGAAAAGCCAATCGATATATTACACACATATAAGCTTTAGACAACTATTTAATCCACTAGATGTATGTTTGTTACTAAAACATAATATAGTAGATAGAAAAAGTGCCGCAGCAAAGATTAGCATTGAAAAAAATTCTTGAGAGCTATGAAAAAGCATTTTATTAATTAATCTATCTGACTGTAATTGGACCGATAAAGGCTTCAAGATAATTAGAACTTAGAGAGAATTGAACAGTTGTTTTATTGTATCTTTTAAACTTTCCAACAGTATATAGCTGGGTATCATACGGGATTGAAACTGTAACATACCAATGAAGCTGAATTAAGACTATGCTGTCAACGTGATGACCGTGATCAGTAGTTGAAGACGTTAGGTGACATGGTTCAGAATCGATTACAGATGAAGATGTATCTACTTCTTATTTTACTCTAGATTGTGAGCTTCAGTATTCCTTCATGCATATCCTTTCATTCTGTCTTCTCAAAACATATTCTCAAACTCTGATCTTTCCAATTATCATTGGAATGTATTATCTCGATACTCTTCTTATTTATTTTGTTAATGCAATCTCGTTGTGCTAATGTGGTATGGCAACTTGGACCAACACACATTTGTGCCAGGCTCTATGTTGTTTATGACTGACCGACTGTCGTAAATTGATTTAATTCATAAAGTGTGGACCATTGGATTTTGTCATAAGATTATTTACCATAAAACTAAAAGATCTTTGATTTAATCCCATGTGAGATGTAGGGTGTGTATTGCTCTAAAAGGACCTTAATCCAGGATACAAAAACTGCTCATTGTTTAATAGATTTTTCAATAATTATCTAGCTGAAGTTAGTGTGTAATTAAAATTGCTTTTTAACTGTACAAACGTTTTCACATAATCATTCTAGCCAATAATAATCAATAAATGACTATTCATTTGGGCATTTAAGTAAATGTGGACAAATTAACCAAACAGATAAGGAGTAAAAATTAAAATACTATGGTATGGTGGTGTATGTTACTTATATTGAGATATAAATAGTATGTAACATCAGTCGAAAGTAGAATGCCTAGCAGAAGAACATTGAAATGAAGAGAACAAAAAGGAAGTCGAAGAACAATCAGAATAACAACAGAGGTACAGGAATAATAGAGTATGTAGAGGATAACGCAAAGATATGCAAATGATGTATTTAATGCATGATTTTCATATTTTACTAAACCACTGTGTGATTTTGCATTAAACAATAAATCGGTTTTTCCCACCTGAGTTTTTGTTTGCTACAGTACAAGTAGTGGTGATAACATTGAAATGACAATGAAACCGATAAAGGATTCACTCATGTAAATAACAAGAAGGCATAAACACATCTCACAAAAATGAAAATCACTTCAAGTTGTAATTATGTAAATAACTAAAGATCTACTCATACGGTTAAAAAAAGATAACTCCATATTTCTGGTAGTTGTCAGGATAAATTTCGAAATTAGTAAGAAATCATGTGACAAAATGCACAAACGTTGTGACGTTTAAAATTCCAGAATTTATCTACATAACTCAAGAGTTATTAATTAAAATACAATTAAATATTTAATTTTAGATCAAATTTGAACAAAATACTTACCAACTTACTAACAAAACACTTACCAGGAACAAGAGATGGATAATACTCGCCATGGTTTTTATCTTTTTTCCAGGATCTTAAACCTTCTAGACATGGAGACGATCTATTTGTTGAAGAGAGTTTCCGTCTATTTCGTTTACGACGTGCACGTAGAGTTCGAAGATCATAACCATGTTGACCCCATACTGGTCCAGCAGCTAATAAAGGAAATTAAGACAGAAGATATAGATTCTCCGATATCATCTACTTTCTAGTGATCACTGATCAGTCTCTACAAGTATATCATTCATACTGTTCGGTTGTACATAAATCTGTGAATTTCACAAGAACTTTGTTTCCATTTATATTCATAATAAAATATGAAAAACAGTTAAAACGTTAATAGTTTTTTATTATTGTTATATTAATAAGTAAGATTAACCTCTTTTAGTCGAACCTAGCACATTACCTATATTTAAAATGCTTAAACTATTTTTGTAAATCATATATCAGCTCCCCGATACTTTAGTGTAATATTTTGAGACAATTACTTTGAAAACTGATGGTGTTTTCTTATTACTAAAGCGAGTACATAGTTTCGCCGAAGTTAATACCTATATACCGAAAAATATCAAAGGTACCTGTAAGTACAAGACTTTATTACAGGCATATCTAGTTGTCTTAAATCAAGCATTATTTATATAAAATCACTTTCTATTGTGTTTCATTTTCTGAGTTGCATATTTTAGTCAATAAAATTTGTGTTGATGATCCATATAAAGTCAATAAAAATTCCATGAGTAAATCGCTCGACCCAAACAACAACGATTCACCGACAAGAAATACACTTATCAATTAGAATAAATAATAACAAAAAACAAACCTGACCATTCATTGATTGCATTAGCTGAGGAAAGATCAGTAGGTTTTGTTAAACCAGACATACGATCGCCATAAGCTGAACTTAACACAGTACTATTCATTACACAACGTGAATCATCTTCCGGTGTAGATACAACTCCATCCGTTAAATCACCTTCACTTGTATTCACAGATGTCAGTTCACTTTTTGAATCAGTTTGATTAGTATCTCGACTTGATGGTGAGATAGATCTACTACCAAAGTGTGCATTTTTAAGTGTTGGAAATTTTATTCCCAAAAACCTCTTCTCTTTCGACTTATTTGTAGGCTTTTCCGCTTTATTAACAGTTGATCCAGTTGAATCAGAGTCTGTTGAATCTTCTTCCAATTCAATGTCTTCAGTTCCACTAGTTAACCAATATTTTAAGCGTAATATAGCACGATTACGTTGATAAATTGGACTAGGTATGAGACCAGCTAATGTTCCTATTGCACCAGACAAACCACGTTCTTCATCACTCCTATAATAATAGATTCATAAAAAATGCATAGAATAAAAACGAATGAATTAGTCATGAAAAAATATTACTAATAAGTAACATTAAACACTGATATACTTTGTGTAACAACATAAACAAAATACGAACAAGCTGAAGACCTTTTTTACCATAAACCTAAATTAACTAAAGCAAAATACTGAAATAACAAAACGCTGAGCTGTGCTTTCACTTGACACATTAGACAAGAATACCTCAAATAATCTGTTAGCTGTTAAGCCAGTTATTTCCTTAAATTAACCTTAGCATATTAATTTTTGAAGTAGCTATGTCTAAGCACATTCAAAATTACAATAATACATGGGATATATCCGATTCCCAACAGATGATAAAGAGTCATCGGTAAAGGATAGTAGTTATTATGATTTATCAACTTACCATAGGTTTGATATACATTCTCAAATTAATCATCCACACACAAGTGATTCTGTAAATATCCCTAATAAACAGAAGTATTTTTGTCCCATATAGGTGGATCATAAATCGTTGCCTTATTCTTCATTGAGATATCTAGGCGGATAACTATCACATGTTTTCCTATATATACACACATAACCAACTAAATCATCACTACGAGTCAAACGCATGTCTACTAACATCTGGAAGTTATGAATAAGTACAAATAATTGATCATATCAAGATATTATACATCTAACAAAAACAAAACTAACTCACCGATAAGCTTGCCACCAATTTGGATCTTTCCTCCCTGTAACGTGTATAATGTCTCCTTTGGTAAATCCTAAACCCAATTCTTTACATGCTATATAACGGTCGTCAGTGGGTTCATAAGTAAATAATGCACGTAGATGTATCTGTCAAATAAACGACGTATACACAGAGATCAGGAAAATACACATAATAGAACGAAAATCATCAAACTTATTGACACAAACAACACCAGGTAAATTAAAACAAATAAATTTGAAAACAAACCCTAAAATTGGTAATAGATAGGTCAGTTCTGAAATTCGAAACATTAACCGAATATCATTACTTATCAGCAGAATAGTTTTAATTTATACAATTTGTATTTATACGTGAATAATGAAGTGAATAGATTCAATTCACTGAACCATTAAATTGATGATTTTGTAATCTAGAAAATTCCGTGATTTCCGTTAGAACACTTAAAACATTAAGTTAAGAGAATGGATCTATTCAAAAAATCGCTTTTTCAGTATTTACATTTTTCCATGGAATTAAGGATTAAGAAATATGTAAATTTGTCTGGATACCATCAACAATAGACTTCTGTGGAAGAGAAAAAAACAGCTTTCAGATGAAGAGAAAATTAGAAAAATATTATAGAAGTGGATAGGACACATATTCCGCATATCATCAAACTGCATCACGAGGCGAGCCCTAACTTGGACTCCTGAAAGGAAACAAAAAAGAGAAAAACCCAAGAAAACACAGCGTCGGGGATTAGAAGGAAATATCAAAAGGATGAATAACAAATAGAAACAACTGGAAAGAATGGCGCAGGACAGAGTTGGATAGAGAATGTTGTTGGTCGGCCTACACTTTTCTACGAGAGATAACTGGTGAAAGTAAGTATTATATGTAAATAAATGGATATTTTTATTAAAATAATTGTTGTCTGTCCTGATTACTAGTAGTTGATATTCCAATCCATCGTTTCCTTCTGTTCTTTTTCATTCTAAAATTATCCCACATTATCTTCGAATTTCAATAGTTGGTGTACACACAGTTACTACTAACAATTCTTATTTGGTATATATGGTTTCCAATATTTACTTTTCAATTTGAAATTCTGCCTCCTACTGATTACATAATTATGATACGTGCAATTGGAAGAGAAGGTTGGGTCCGAGAATGTCCCACTAACTATTACACTAAACTACTATCACGGTTTTGGTTGCTTTTTAGTAATTCCATTTGTTATTCTATCAGTTTCCTTTACAATCTAGCACAGTTCGGTTTGAAATAGAAAACATAACCCTAAATGAAAAAATTAATTATGTAATACATCACAAACAGATATATCTTTCATTTAGATAAAAATCAGGGGAAATTTCTTTGACTAAAATAAAAATAAAACCAGGTTAAAATTTGGATGATATTCCTCATTACAGAGGAGTACTGGGCGATGCGCATTGATTCAAACCTTATTGAGGTTCCGGTTTCCCCCAAACCCAACGGGTTGCGTTTCTTAATTTCGGCTGTCCTAAGTAAGTAAAATGCTCGATTGCATATTGTTAGAGTTTAATTTTCGAGTTAAAAATAAAATTCAGTATTCTAATATTATAATCTGAACATACAAACAGAACTTCAGTTGAGTTTATGAGCTGAATATGTCTTGTGATAAACCATTATGGAGAGCATATAATTAAAAAATCATAGTTGAACATTTTATTGTTGCATCATATAAATTCATGATCACTACTTTTTTCCCATCCTGTCACATCACTTCTTTTAATCATTATTTTATACAAATAATAAATGTCTAGAATTACAAGACAGTACTTTCATAAAGAAATGGTTCAATGATTAGACTACTTGATTTTTAACCATTACAACGTACAGTCGAAAATGATTCTCTATCTATTTTCTTAATCTGATAATTCAAATAACATCACTAAATCTAACATGAAATATTCCAATAGTTGAGATCATGAGTCAATTAAAGTTAGAACACCAAAGAAAACCTGGAAGCACTGGACGACCGTTTCTTCCCATTGTGGGACTCCTCAGCAGTGCGCATCCACGATCCCGCCCCCGCGAGGTTCGAACCCAGGACCTATCGGTCTCGCGTGTGAACGCTTAACCTTTAGACCATCGAGCCGGCACCTAATGGTGTTAATGTCTAACTTTAACTAATCCAAGAAATTGAGCGACACATCCACCATGGTCTTCAGTGAGTCACTATATCACAACATATTTGTTTAAAAACTTTGTATTCAATTATTAACCTGTGCTCACAAACAAATTTTAAATAATTATAATCGTAAGAACTGAAGATGAATTTGCTAGAATCATTTATTCGTCTAAATAAATGTTGTCTTGATCAAGATTATTAAGCTATTAACAAGTTCCTAATCATAATAATAATAAGAAAAATATAGAATTATCTCATACTTACAATTCCTTTAGTCGATATTGATGAATATGGATCAAGTGCCGGTGCAACAAGAAGAATAATTCTCCCATGTAGTGAAGCCTAAAATAGAAGTTGTTGTTTTTTAAATGCAGATGTATTACCATTTGATGTAAAACAAAGTTAATACGTTTGAAACAAAGCTTCATAAATTCAATTAAAATGAAAAATAACCTTTTATAATCATTTCAAGACAATAAGTTTCTAATGAGCATTAAATGTCGTTGTTTTCACGTTGAGTAATGAATGGATTCAGAGTGAAAATCTTTATTACATAAGAGTGAAGCACACTTAAATAAATGCTACTAAGCATTATAGTGTTTCATTCGGACGATCCTATTATATGCTATTTCTGTATTATTCTATTACTAATTTCTTATTAGGTGTAAATTACTTCATCTCTATTAGAATATAGTCAACGTAAGTATAGACACTTCATCTTTAAACATGATCACAGCTTAATTATGTTAACCTTTAAATCAATTAAAAAGATCCCTTATTACCAATACACAAACACAGCCAAATTAAATGAAAAAGTGACAATTTTTAATTATTTTCTAAGAGTGATTGCTACCCTGACATGATGGTCGGTTATGTTTACTTATCGTAACGACCAAATCGAGCTATATTGGCTGGAATACTTATTCTTTCAGGTCCTACTATACTTGGCAAGTCGGTTGAAAAGGGATAAGACTAAAAGCAAAAACTTTGAGTTCGAAGGCAAAGTCTTACTACCTACTGTACTAATGTATGATGGCAGTGACATCCTTACTTTATACAAACAACATTTACGGTGATGCTGCCTTCCTACATCAAGAGGAATGGGCTAGAAAAGGTAGGGCTTAAAATCAATACAACTCATCTTGCCTTACTAATTTACGCTTCGAGAGGTAAGACCTTTAAAGTATGGGGACAATACATCAAGAACTACTTGAGAAAGAGCTATATGTGAACAACCTCAAGCAGTTTTCCCTTGGACTCCGTGGTCACACTAGCAGGTCGCCAAGACTAATACTAATCCAATTTCCCTCTCATGATCTTCAAGAAACATTCTTCTACGGTGTGAGCAACCAAGGAATGACCTCCACACATACATATGCAAACACCTCAAACAGTGCAGGGGATCACCTTGGTCACAATCACAATAGGCTTGCTACAATCACATCCCTTCTTTACTTCCTAAAAATATTTTTATCCTTACTATCAACCCTTCTATTATAGCTTCATCTTAATCCCCAAAGCTAATTGTTAGAAGAGTGAACTTATCTGTCCCTGAGAATGTATTTATTCTATCTGGAAATGTTTGAATGTTCCTTTTACTCATATCTTGTAATTATTTGATGAACGTTTGACGAAAGGATCCTAATAGCGGATTGTCCCACACTGTTATCTTATTTGAATGCATCATCAACCAATTAAAAATCTTTATCTTTATCGAGAGCTCAACTCAGTACCGATTTTCGTGAACATTAAAAAGTGACATACACTATGTTATGAAATCATAACTCAAATATTCCAAGTTCAATTATGCTTTTCAAACTGGAGGTATCCATCTTAACTCAGCATCCAAAGGAATGAAAATGTATTTTTCAAAGCGATGAAAGTTCAGTTTGACTCTTAGTAGAAACATTAACATTCATTAAAGTGTGGACAAATTCTATTAACAAGTTATATATATGAAGATTTCGCTACTAATAACTAACAAATATCGTTTATTAGTCACAAAAAAAAGTTAATTGACCTATAATTCCCATTTAAACATGAAAAACACGAAGTTCAGCGACGGGATCTCTTTTCAACGAATTTATTATCAAGCTATACAATCGTATATATATGAAAAATCTTCATTTATATTAAAATTAGCTTAGACATACTATAAAGTTAGACGGCAAAATACTAATGATCATCAGCTACAATTAGTTTGTCACCATTATATTACCATTTATAAATGAACCAGAGTGCTGAAGAAACCTTGAAAATATTTAACTGATTCATTCATTGCATAAAGGTATTGTGAATAAAATTGCTTACCATAATATCACATACTGTATTCAAATCTTTCCCCATTAGTTCAATTCCATTGACAGATAACAGTTCATCACCTTCGTGAAGAAGATCTAGTTTACAAAATATTTTAACATAATGGAAACGTGAATATTTCAAAAGTTTCTGTTTGTTGTGAAAATGTAATGTGAATTTGGAATGTTTAACACAATACACCCCACAATGAGGTATTAAGAATGACAAATGAAGTCTTTTATTTCCAAAGGAATTGTAAACGTCAGAACGTTTACTGACAATAGGTGGTTTTCAACATCATTCAGTATAATTACGTAACTACCGAGTAAATGCTATGTCTTGATTTGGAAATCTTCAGCATTCGACAAGTATAAAAACACTCAGGACTAGATAGAGGTACATCAAGCACCAAAACGAAGTTGGTTTTAACCAATCTTTTTACATCTGAGATGTCATGGAGAATATCCAACGCTGAAACTTTGGTTAACAAACTCTATTTTATTTATAAGAAAGGAAATAACAATAGAAAACCAATATCATCCTTAATACTGAAAAGTATTTATATCAGAGTACAACTAAAAGTAATATTTCATGGTTGGAATCACGAAATGACTTATCTAGACAACCATTAAAACCTGAGAAGCATCCAATAGCTAGTTCGTTCTAGCATGAGACTTCTTTATAGTGCACACCCACGAACTCACCGAATATTGGACCCAGGACCCTTGGGTCCTGAGGATAGCTTTTAACCGTTAGACCGCTGGTTCAGTATCCAGTGTTTCTCATGTAAACTACGAAATCCAACAATCTCCAAAAACCTCCTATGATATCAAGTGATATTTATGCAAAATTCGAGTCACCATTTTTTAAAGATATAGTAATGTGTAAACAAACTTCATTCTACACAATTGGGTTAAGGCCCAAATAGTTGTGCCGATATGAAGTGATCGTTGATCTAAGTCATCTTTAGAGGTTAGGACCTCCCCGTTGAGGTTCACCCGATGATGGCTACTCCACGATTTTACTGATTGTTTTAGAACTATACTAATTTTGTTTAATTTGTTACTAACATAGGTAGTGCAATTTTTTTCAACGGACATTTTATTCTGCTCCTGATAATCTTCATTGCGTTTAGTTGAATAAACAGACATTTATACTAGATCCTTTGCTACTTATTACTGACTGATCACTATGATATTAACAGCCTTCTTGAATTATGCAAACAACAACTCAAATAAATAGGACAGCATAACGTACCAAGACAAATTCACCAGTAATATGGTAATCACACTACTCATAGTGAGTGTCACATACATTTATGAATAACTATCATGTAACGAATATCCAAAATCATACCATTACTCTATGATTACTTTTTGATTCACATTAGCTATAATGTAATAAACTTTAGGTCTAGATTTCGAATTATTATAACTATAAACAAATTGATATAACAAACAGAAAAAATGAAATTAGTTTGTTAGTCATTTAAATACTTGGCTGGTGATATACACAGGTAGACGCTTGAGAATAGAGCTGACTATAAATAGTATCTTTGTATGATTACAACTAATCTTGGGTCATTTGAGAAAAAAAGCCTATAATTCATATTCAATTTAGATTGTTTACAAAAGTTGAACGATTGTGGTATCTTAGATGAATTTTTAACGGTTGAATAGTTTTTAAAGTTAGTTTAGTTAACAATAACATATTGATTACTAAGTTGTGAGTACTTTAAACCAATCAAAACAACTGTTACAATGAATAGACATGAATGAACATTAGTTACTCTAACACCATTTTTTTTTTCAATTTTTCGTTAATCGTTTCCTATCTGATAAGTAGCTAAAGGTCACAATATCTCAACTGAATAGTTTACTTATAAATAACAGTAAAAATTTTGTAACATATTCTCAGATATACTCAGTTAAATAGTTAATGGTTCTATCTTTTAAAATCTATTCACTTGAGATTTAAGGATCGATTCTGTGACCATAACTATCATTTGTGTCAACTTTCTTTTAAAATCCATTGAAATATCGAAGGAAATAATTGCACATTTATTTACATTGGTTACTTACTTGTCTTACAAGCTAAACCCCCATTAACAATCCGAGCAATTAGAATTGAATTTCTTTCCAAACGAACTGTAGCTCCCTGGCAAATATTACGGAAATAAAAACAGTAAATTTTATAAAAGAGAATTCGACAAATAAACATTTTCGTAAATTTAAAGAAAAAGTGAAAAATATGTACTAATTTATGCTTCATATTTTCATGAGCGAATTTATTATAATCAGACTTTTTCTGACTTACCAAAAATTCATTACCAGTTTTTTGAAGAATAACATATTTTAATCTAACTCCATGTTCTGAATAGGAGTCACGACCTTGATCATCGTATGCAAGTGTAGCGTAACAACCTGGGACAGAAGATTTTTGAATATATGAACTAGAAATAGAGTTTCTATCGATATCCTCTGACATGTCAAAACTTTCAGATGCAACAAAATCTTCATCAGCATCAAAAAGCCATGTATTTGCTAATCCATCCATAGCAATTAATAAGTTCTAAACAATAAGATATATTAAATGAAACTTAGAAATCATATGATTATTTCATTGTTTAAAATTTACTAAACAGTAACAACGTTTTAGCATATTGTAAATTATTTAGAAGACAACACACTATTGAAATTATAAAGTTATTATTCTGACTGTAATTCGCCAAGAGGTTTCATACAGCTGTCCAATAAACTTCATCTGAATCGTATAACTCAAAGGCAATGAAAACCAAATTAAATGTCATATTTACAAGAATTATCGTTAGGATAGTAACTTAACTATTTTGTCACATGACCTGTACTTTCTTATGATAATAAGTTATATTATGTACGTTGTTAGATTTGGTAAAGTATGACATTTGATAATATCCTGAACTATTCTTAATTCACTCTCAATTCAGGTAATGGAGTGAATTAAAAATAAACTAATACATAATATATGCTGTGATCACATCAATCCATGAAAGTTAACCATCAAATCAATTAACTTTTTTTTAATTTAATGCTATACTTGCAACTTTGGTGAAATTTACTTACTAGACCGTAATACATTCAAGCAATTTGAGAAACTTGATAAGTATTCACTAACAGTTAAAACACTAATATCACTACTATATAGTAATGTAGCATACCTGAAATAAAGGGGATGAGCATAAATTAAGTATTGCGGAAATACAATTTAAAGTAAACGCATCAAATTGACCCGGATTCTTCAATGCAGTTAATAACTGTTCTTTAACAGCTTCCATCGTGTCGTATGCCAATCCAGCTAAAACAGGCCAACGATATCTCGGTTTAGGATGCATAACACTTTTACAAGTCTCATATGCTTTCGCAACTTTGTCATGCATAAGAAATGCTTTTGATAAACTTGGATCGGATAGAACGTTTAAAAGCCACTCCCATTGTTCTGTTTCGGAATCCAAAGTGGTTTCGTTTGTTGGAAGTGTGATGTCTGATGATTGAAATTTATTCTCATTTTCATCTCTTAGAACTGGCATCTTCGTCCGTAGATAGCACAAAAGTTCCATGAGTTCTAAAATTTAACAAATCATAAACAAAAGATAGTTATTTTATAAAGCACGAAGACCTATCATAGTAAGATGAAGTAAGCTTCTTTGATTTTGTATGCTCTATACCGTCCACATGTATACTAATTTTATAAATAAAATGTTTTAAAAAATAGAGTTTTGCGTTTAACATGTGTACAGTAATTCAATTTGCTGATCAGTAGTAAGTAGTTACTTTCCAATACCTCATAAGTTCAATTTACAGAGAACAAGATAAGTGTGAGAGAGAGACTATTCTTGCAATCGACCAAAAGAAATATGTGTATATTGTAAGAAATATTGTAAAAAAAAACCTAGTTACTGCAAAAAACACCCACTAAGTAATCATAAAAATGTGACAATAATAATACTGAGATGGAGGTTATTAAATGAAGTGCTTGCAATCATAAATTAAATTCTGATTACAACGAAGATTTAGGGATTTGTCTTATTAATAAAACAACTTCAGATTCATCTCCTAGTTACATGGTTTAAGTATAAAGACACCGACATATTGTTAAGAAAGGTATGTTATTCCATCTCTCTGCAATCGGCAAACGTCCAATTCATGTCATGATATTACTGTAGACCCATAATTAACGCTGTAAGAGTGGTACTCAAAAATATTATTTTAATAGTGGTACATTACAACACTCAAAATTTTGGCGATAAAATCTGCTGAACTTGCAAGACTTATCACAACCAGGATATCAGTGACAGGGGAGTAATCTCAGACTACTTCTTTAGTATTTATCGAATTCTTAAGTTGAAACATGTCGCTGCTCCACACTAACATTTCTTCGGCTGCAAAATGTTTAAATTTGCCGAATCACTCTTGTCTAACTTCGTCACAGACCTGCTACTAAAACTAATTCTTCATATAATTGAGCGTCTGCAAACTGGTCTTTCACATAAAGACCTGTTGGTCGATACCTATTTGCCAGGAAAAATTATGCCTATACATATAAGGTTGTGCGATCATATTGACCATCACTACCAATCTAGGAAGTATTTTCCACTCACTAAACGCAAAAGGTGGGATTTGTAGCAGAATTGTGTCAATAATTATCATAATAACAAACAATTGAATGACTGAGTAGATTAACAACTAGTCAGGAGTATTCTGCTTGTGGCAAACAACAAGTTCTTCGTGGATTCCGAAAGTTGTTATTACGCAATGTACTAAAGAATAATGAAGTCACAAGACAACCCCTCAATACACTCATTAAAACAACACCGAAAGAAAAAACAACAAGCAAATAAACTTTTGCTGTTAGAATAATAATATGCATGGATCATCAATAACAATTTGAATAACTTATTTATCCATATATGTTCTAACTCGAAACACTGATATATATAGGTATAACTACATATATACTACTTTTCTCAGTCATTCTTCATTGTATGATTGCGTGAATGTTCTGTATATCATTTTGGGACAAAATATTTAGTACTTGAAAAACAAACAAATATTACATAAGTTTTATCTTTTTCACCTAAAAACTGTGATTCTATTTTTCTGTTTCCTTCATTAGTTACCCTCTTTATTCTTATTAATACAACGGTTAAATTAAAGCATTATGATAATCTGTTGTTTAAGTTCAAAATAAAGTAAGATTACTACAAAAAAAAGTATTTGACATTTTGTGTAATAAAACAGTTCTATTGCTTTACAGTATATTTAGTGAAAAATATTCAAGACAATCATTTTAATGAGTTATCATTAAGTTTAAAGTAATAGGAGCGTTACCAGTTATAAATCACAAAGTTTTATCAGCTAGTTTGAAGTTGAACTAGAGTTTAAGTTACCATAGAATATAAGGTTGACTGAATTCAATTATCTTAAATTTAATATGAACTACTGTCAGCTCTGAATATGCTTGCGTTATCTACTATCCTCTACTTGCTATTTTCAAAGTTAAGAAAGCTCACGATTTTTTCAGGCAAACCGTAATCTTGTTGCGAAGTTCAGCCACAGAAAAACATGTAAACTCTGAGGCTTTTCAAAAAGCGAATGATCGATTATACCCATTAAAAAATTTTAAACCCATCTAAACTATACAGAATTACATCTACGATGAAAGTGTCCGGTTCTTATATGAGTTCTCTGGTCCTATAATTATAATGTCTTTAAGATGAAATCCGTTTTAAGTGACCACATAAGATTCAAGTTAAATAAATGTACCAAGGACCTAACTGATTCAACTGAGAAAAGAATCGCGAAATTACTCATCGTTCTCCTGAAAAAGATAATCGATAACTCCACTTGCAATAGCCTACGACCTCGTGGGTCTCGTATGCCCCATATTTATGGTTTATCAGAAATAAATAAACAAGGTACTCCTTTTAGACGTATTCTGTCAATTTTCAATTCACCCTAACACAAAGTTGCACGATGGTTAGCGGATAAGTTAAAACCAGTCCATCAACCATTAGCCAGTTATAAATTAAAGGAATCATTTGGATTTGCTAACAGTATGAACCGCATAAATATTGATGGTAACTTTTTGGTTTCCTTTGATGTGACATCACTGTTTACAAAAATAGCACTTCTTGAAACCCTAGACATGGTTTGCCAGCATTCTGACATTCTACCTCTACCAGCATCATAATTCAAACGACTGTTAATCATATGTACAAAAGATGTTCAGTTCCAGTCCAACAATATCATATTACCCATAAACTGATAGTGTAGCAGTGGGAAGTCCGTTAGGTCCTGTACAAGTAGATATTTTCATGGTTGATCTCAAAAGAACCAAGCTCAAAGAAGCGATTGATGGAATGATGTATTATTCGAGGTATGTTGATGATACCTTCATCGTATGTAATAATCAACAACATGCAACAAATCTGCTAAAACTTTTCAACGAGGCCCATCCAAATATCCGTTTTACTATGGACCATAAAAATGGAAACAAGTTCCATTTTCACGATATCGCAATAAAACGAAGGAAGGATGGCACAGTTCAACATTCAGTTTATAAGAAAGACAAATGAGTGAGATTTGTCTCAATTTCAGTAACTTTTTTCCAATCAGTTACAAAAATCACTTGTTAAAACACTATTTCACAGAAAAAACATTACGTACTGCCGATACAATAGAAGAAAAAGCAGTAATGAATGTTAAAAGCTGTTAAAAGAACGACGGATACCAACTGAAATTTATTCTGAAGTATCAAAAACGTGAAGATAAAAAACCTGAAGAAACTACAGTAAGTAAAAAACATATTTTAATCCAACTTCAATTCAAAGGTGATGATTTCACAGGGTCAATCAATATGAGACTAAAAACTGCATTGAAAAGAACTTATCCTGCGGCTAAACTGATTGTCTTGTCCAAAATAACGGGATCTTCAACACAATCAAAGGTCGATAGTTATCCTTTTCTTGTTACCACCAACTAAGTATACAAATTTTCATGTGTCTGCCAAAGCAGTTTCATTGGTAGAACACAAAGGAAAGCCTGCGTCTGATTCAAAGAACGTAGTCCGAAAAGTGTAAGGTTGATTGGATTAAAAGCATTCGGTAGTGCCATCTCAAAACATCTCCTTGACACAGGCAATAAAGTCGATACACTGAAGTCTTTCAAGGTAATTAATAAGCAATCAAACTCCAATCTTTTGAAATTTGCTGAAACGATAGTAAACAAACGTCTCAAACCAGATCTATGTATCCAAAAAGAGACAGTAATAAGTCTTTCTTTGCCCAGGTAACACTCAACGCCCCTTTTTACTTATAACGTGATTCATTATTTCAACTCTTTCTGTCATTTTTCTTCCATACATAACTGATTGATTTCAATTCATTTCTTTATTACCACTAAGATGTTTTTGGTTGCTTCATTACATAATTATCTAATGCTTGTTAAATCCATGACTTATAATCACTATTTCAATGTTTTGGAACTTTCCCTCCCAAACTTTATTTATCCAAAACAAACTTTTTATGACCTTATTAACGTTATCGGAACTTTCGATACATTATGATACACATATTCATCTCCAATCATCCCCGTATTCATAAATATGTTAATACCTGTAATGACTTTGATTTTAAAGTATTATAGGTTGTAAGCAGCCGATGAAAACCTGACAGAATAAAATGAATACATATTATTCTGCACCAATCTTCGTTCTTGCTCTTTTTAAGATAACAAAGGGAATTATGTGCATGAAATTCTTATAATTGAGTTACGGCTATCGCCTGCATTCGCTGGAAGTTGGTTTAATCTTTAAAACTTTGTGTCACCAAGCTGAAACTAACTCGTTTTCCAAATATTCATATGTTATTTCACTGCGTGGTTTTTTTATATTTTTATTTTAACACATAGATATTGGTACAAGGAGGCACCAAATACATGTGCTCCACATAAATTTCATTCGGTATGTGTGAGTGCTGTGATACTGCTCGGGTGCACAAACCAAAGCAGGTGGTTTCCTTTGGGAACCACACCCCGAGCCTTCGACTTGAAGGTCTGATCCACAAGACAGTGGAGCACCATAAGGAGACGCAGTCCCATGGTAGCCGGTGACCAACGATTGGTTCACACGCCATTTGTTCCCGCAGGATACTGGAGCCCATGTGCACCATTGGTTTGGAATCAGGGTTTTACAACTCCTCTAGGTGGACTCTCCATGCCCACCAACCCCGTTAAAGCGCCGAACATTCGCTTTTCGTCCTCTCAGCTTTGTAAACAACATTTGGGAGCATTTCACTACGTGGTTCACAAGACAGTAATGAAGAGATATGTTTTGTTTTTAATCATCTATAAGAATGTTACAGTGTTATTATGATAAGCATTATAAATCTTTTACACGAGTTACTTCATGTTCGCAGTTCAGTGAGAAATAAAAAACGGTTAGCTCTTGAAGCTAGAGTTCATGCCCTAATCTACTAACAGTGGTAACGTCAAGCGATTGGTGTGAAACCAATTTTTTTGTTTTTAATTGTCGATAATTCTATTTGTTATCCTTTGCTAATTAAGTGACAAAATAGCACTTTGATGAAGAATTAGATCAACAAAACTTGTTAGTGTTAGACGTGTTTGTTTCATCAGGTTATCCTCTGCCTAAAAAGAGACAGTGAGCTATTGAAAAATGTTCAGAGAACCTCAACTAAGTTGATTCCGAAGATAGCAAAGCTCCCATATGATGATCGACTGACTTAACCTATTTCCATTGAGATATAGAGGTGAACTGACCACAGTTCTCAAATTACTGAGTGACAAATTTACATATGATATACCACCACTTTCCAAAACAGATAATTTACGAGGACATCATAAGAAAGTTTACAAGCTCAGAACAAACTGCCTATCAGTTGACTATCGATTTTCCCATCGTGTTGAAGATGGCACAGGTAGTCAGTGTTTGATAACGCTTTTACCAATGGCACCTTCTAATATAACTAGTACCCACCAAGAAAAATCAAAAGACAAAATCGAGGAGATCAGAAGTTGTATTTGACGATTGCCAATATATAGGAATTGTCTGATCTAGTCTGGCTAGCGATTGCGGTAGATGTTGAGCACAGCGTTAACACATGTGATCTGGTGCGGATGCATGCCCGAGTGCCTTCAGCTAGGTGAGCCCATTAAAACTAATCTGGTCAGCATCCAATGTCGAAAACTTACAGAGCTATTTATCTTGGGGATTTATTTACCGCTACAGAATCATCAACGAATGGAATTCATTCCCTCAACACGCTATTGGAGATCCATCCGTCAATGATATCGAAGGAAAGTTAGATCGTCAGAGAGACCATCATTTCCAAAACTAACACAGACCGCCTAGCCTACCGTCCTTTCTAAAACGAAACTGTATGCTCCAAAGTTACCAATCATTGAAGTTTTTATTGATTTAATTCACTCGTAATTTCTAAAAGCCTCTATTTTAATACCCACCAACATTTTCGTCAAGAATATTACTTCATCCACATAGACCAACTCATATGCTACCTATCTTATATGGATAAACTTCGACGTGGTCATATGAAAACTTAGTGTCAACATTATCGTTCGGTACTCATATTGAGTCAGTTTCTACTGTTTTATTATCGGTATGTATTTACTTCAGTTGAAATTATTCGTGGCCACGAGTTTGTTACACAATAACCTATAACTTTTTCTCAATAAGATTAATTATGCATTGAGAAATTTCAGATGTGAACTATGTTTATTGATATACCAAGGCTTTTAAATAATTCATTCACAATGTAATTAGACGGTAATAAACCAGTGCAATAAATTGGACTCGTCATATTCTAAGTGCGTTATTCAAGGAGCGCCGTTCAAAATGACTGATTCAATTATATTTATTTACGAGCATACTGAACGGGTTTTTCCGAAAAACCACGCTTGTGTTCATACTTTTAGTATTGTTTGAATAGGTGAGAAAGAGCCCTTTTACCTTATGTCTGTAATATACCAAATATCTACAAGCACGTCCACATATACAGAAAGAAGTTCGAAAACACAACCTAGACTATTTTTCATATCTCATAACTACTGGTGGTCCACATTTTGCAACGTAAAAAAAGGATTATAGATTAAATACATAAGCGGAAATAAGTAAGCAACTCTCAGTGCAAATTCCTACTCGGCGAAAGTTTCGCAATCTTCAGCCATGACCGAATTTCATTGTTTTATAATGCAATCCGTTAATCAAATAGCTTGCATGACGAGACTTTGTGAAGCACAACGATATATCGTTCTTATAAGAATAATTTGACAAATCAGACGAGTTTAGCCAGACTTATAACAAGAATTTAGTAGACCAGCATATCCACCAGGAAAAATTAACCACAACAATAATCTGTACTAATATTCCAAGTTCTTAAACACAAAATACCACGTTATTACTAATAAGCAATCAACGAACCTGTGTTACTTTCAACCTTTGAATCATCTTCAAATGCTTGATTTACTTCAGCCTTCTTGGATTCATCTCTTCTAATGATTCTCCTGTATTGTTCAATAGCTTGCAAACGACTAGACCCACGTAGTGAGGTACGAAGGAATTGTTTTTCTCCCTCCTTTTCTTTCTCCAAATCTTGCCTTTTCCTGACTTCTTCTGCATAAAACTCCAGGTTTCTATCTTTTTTGTGGCAGATAATTTAAAAAGAAAAACCCTACCCATCTGATTTTCCATAGCGAGTATAAAATACTAGACAGTCACTAACGTCACCTTAAAGTAACGCAAACGTTCGGAATATCGCTCATCCGATGAGATTATCAAATGATTCACAATAGTTCAAATAGCTCTGCACAAATAGGAAAAACTTTAGCTTAACGGGTTTCTGTATCTAGTAGTAGTGGATCACCGATGTTTACTGGTAAGATCCTAGGTGTATTAAACGGTAAAATGAAGAAAAAGGAATTAGTTAAATAGAGCAAGATACTGTACTTAATCCTTAGTAATATGTCACTTTTGTCTTAAAGAACTGCTGGAAAGTGGCTTGGACTAGCCGAGCTGGCGACGAACTCCAACATTTGACTACTCTTACGGAGTAGAAGATGTATCTACAGTACGTTCTACTATATTACTTCCAGTTTCTGTGTGTTATCACTGACGTTCGTGTCGGGACTGAGCTTAATAAGTCGTTAAAAGGGAATTCCCGGAAGTTTTTAGGATAATATGAGTCATCAGGTCACGTCTATGTAGTTTGCACTCTTATCGGTAAAGGTTCAATAACTGGAGGGGCTCTTCATTAAGCTTGAATTTAGGTACATTAAAGATGCCTCTAACTAGAAATTTCGACGTGTTGGACAATCTTACGGAGCGCCATAAAGATTCGCCAACACTGACAAACTCTTGAATATGAATTTGATGTGCTACCGAGCAACATTGGAAGTACATGGCTACCTCACCCTCCATTCCTGTGTTTCTGTCGTTGCGAATCAAAGAGATTACATTCGATTATAAATCAGATTCTAAATTTTTAGACTGTTGCGTTGATTATGAATACAAACTTCATGTTCTTTTCCACATATCTTAAACTTTTCCCAGAAAAAGTCGATTTGGGAAAGTTGCTGTCATATGTCAATATAACCGAACCGCATAACTAATGAACAAGTCGTCACTAATAACACTCTAATAACACATTAATAGCACACTGTTTCTGGAGTTAATTTCGAAGCCCTAGCTTTGGAACAACTTAACTAAGTCATATAAGTTTACTTGAAGACCAAGATGATCAGTCCCACAAGTTATTGTCCTGCAGGTATTGATGTTTCTGGAAAAAGTGCCGACGACTTCAACAGTCTTGATAAGTTACTGGTGTAGAGGCAAAAATGAAGCCCAAAGTGGTTCTTTGACATACCCTTTTAAAAGATCTTCGTCTGGACATTGTCCCACTTGCTCTCACCCTTTGTCTCTGTTTACACAGAAAATCTATCATCCACTCTTATTCTGCACCTGTTATTTTGAAGCTCAATAGCTTCTGCACAGGCCATAAATATAAAACATTATCAAGTGCTTTGCCACCATCTATGGAAATCACATCGACAGACAAACCACTATCCTGTGTGTCTGTTTAGTTCCCGCTCCCAACTAGTAAATCCGTTAAGCAAGAACGCTTATTCTGAAAACCGTGTTCTTCAAGAGTTCATAGACTGCATGATCCGTCGTCACTAATCTGCTTAACCCGAGTTATGTTCTCAGATACCTTGAAGCAATTCTAGTTAAACTGGCAGCTTGGTAGCCAGATATGATCTGTCCTCTTTCATATTCAAACATATTTCTAACTATAGCATTCTTCTAATCCCCAGGGGGTTGAATGCTAGTAACAATAGGTTGAACAACACTGTGAATGTCCACGAGGGACAACAGTAATCGTGGATGTGGCTTATCAGGCCCAGGTGACTTACCAGGTTTAAGGCCAGTAAACATTCGACGAACAGCTTCCTCAGTCACAACTATTGGTCCAGTCTCCGGTAACCCAGTGGTGTGGCTATGGGAAGTGTTAATACATATAACCGTCGAATAGACCCCAATCAAATTGTTTGCTAAAATTTCAGCTTTAGACACACCAGTTCTGAGAGCATTTTCTACGCCGTGACAGCTTTCAGGTTTTCCTATCGATCCGTCGAGAGCAATGTGATGGTTTACGTTTGGACTGTATGGTGAATGGTAATGCTAAGGACTGGAAAGTGGATTTACGCTTATTCCATTTGTCTTTGACCAACTAATCTGTTGAGACACCACAGTATTCGATTACTGGATGGTTAGTCTCCCAGGTACAAGGACGGGTCGAAGCGGAAACACACCATATATTATGGGCCTTAAACCTGTAGTGATCTCTGTCTGCTACTGAGGTCAAATACTGAATGTTAGTGCCATTATAATGTCTAGTACTGTGTCATGCCCACATGGGTTGTTCTAGCTTCCATGCAGTCCAGTTTATTCATTCTTACTGAGTCACAGTTTGAGCTTATTAGTCATTCTTTTATTGACTGTGACTGTTTTTGTATGACAGTATGTGTCACACAATTGTCTATACTGAATCATCCTTTCTTGACAGTCAGTAATGTCTGTTATAACCGTTATAGAACGCATTAGGGTCTGAAATAAAACAATATATTTTATGTAAAGACTAAGAGTGATAATGCTCGTGTGATCTTGATTAAGCGACCTTCTTTTACTTTATCCAAGCTTTCAGAGGTTAATGTACCTATTCTTGGTTATTATATGCTTAGCTCTGAAGATTGTGTGGTTATGAATCAAGCAACTACGGTTGTACTAAGGCATGAAAAATTCATAATTCTAGTATTTATATTGAGCCAGATTGATTATTTTAGGATCGAATTTAGTGGAAGAATGCTCTAAGTTTATAAATCAAAAATAAAATGACGTAACAAACTTCGCGAGGCAGAGTTCCCGGGTAGTTATGGTTTGGAAGCCAATGCTTCCGATACTTGTATAGGTAGAACGAGTAATTCTCAAAGCACTCTGAATTTATGTGACACAAACTCTAGCAGTCTTGGGTTTAAAACATAAGATACAAACTCAATGACAGATGAATTGTGTCCCAATATAATTCTTGTCACAGAAACGCGGCCCATAGTAAACGCGGACTGCTTTCCAATAATTGTATCTGTAATAAATATTATAGAGTTGTAAATTCATAGGCAAGATGTGAAGTGTTAGAGATTAATTTCTAATACGATCGGACACATAAGAATTACGCTACGGTGGTACGTGCAGAGCCGCTTTATGTGCAAACAAATCTACACGTAGGTCAGCAACTAACAGGGTAATATACCGCAGTCCATGTTGCAGAGCTAGCAACTTTGTCCCAAGTCACATTTGCAAGCGCAAATGTCACACTCTAGGTCTGGACGTCGAAGGTTAGTCCTTAGTCTCCGATTAGGATTAGAAGTTGTGGTTAAGGTATCTATTTACTCCTTTAGTTAATCTAGGCGTTAAAATTTCTATTATTCTCTATCTAATTCTGAAGGGTCTTCGTGTTTGAAAATAAAACTCATGTGCCCTCATATTCGACCTCTTTGTGACGAACGTATGACAACCACCTTAAAGCGTTTAAAATCTGATGCACGAGGCTAAACATGAGTCCATTAGAACCTCCTCGTCCTCATCACTTCCAAGTAATAACACTAAGGTCACCTATGGTTAGATTACAACCTTTACCCACCCAACGAGTATTACTACTTTTATTATATGTACTACTACAGCCTCTTCTACAATTACAAGTCAAATTCACGACTATCAGTCGTGTTTCTGTCGTTCCATTCCCACAAACTAAAGTAAAAATTTCCTCAAATGTCCTTTCTGTCTTCTCTTCAAGACCAATATACTTATTTATGCCATCAAGTTTGTCTTGTGAGAGGAGTTTCTTCTCCGCATATAGTGAAATGATGTTCTGTCACCACATCGGTAGTGTTTACAATAAATTCACTTTTAGTGAGCTACAATTTGTTCGTGTTGACAGTGCGAGATTTAACACGGCTACGCGTGACACTGGTCTGATATTCTCCACCCTCCTAGCTCGTCGACGATAAGAATGTCAGCCTTTCAAACATGGGTTAGGACTCATCTGACAGTACTATCACACTTGAAGTTTCCTCTTCATGTTGTTTCAGTTTTACCGAGCAGGCATCAGTGCTTGATAACTTCTTCATTAGTCTGAGGAGCTTTTAGTGGCATTGGGCCCTAACCACACAATCCTTAAGGCTGAACACGAGACAACTGGAAAAATAGATATCCACCGATGGAGAAGGTGGGAGGGATGGATCTAATTAATTGATTAATCGGATGGCATGGCTCGGCCTTGCAGGCGTGGTCACTCTTGAGTGTTGCCTTATATCTTTTATTCGTATTAAATATATTGTTCTATCTCTAGCCTAAGTTTGTTCTCCATCATATATGGGTGATTGTTACGATGCGATGAGTTGGTGTAGACAATTATGTGACTTACTCGTAAGATCTTATAGATTAGGCAGCTACATCATGACAAATCCACAATTTTAGGAGCGTCTATAATTAGAGCGGCACTCATATTGAAGTACACCATAATTCTGCAAACTACAGGACTTCATTCGATAGTAAAGCTTTAGTTAATGCAGCATTCTCTACATAATAAAAATGAATCAGGTTTGCAGGAACGATTATACGCGGCCGGTAATTAAAAAGTTCATATTCAGTTGAAATATTTCTTACAGTTGTTTGTACTTTATGTCATCTTCAACAGATAAGAGACAAAATGGTCGACCCCATTGATGACTTCGAAAGACTACTTTAACAGGTATTTTTTGCATAGAACAGAATGGGAACGATAACGTTTCCAGGCTGGCCACGGAAATGCAACAAGTAGTAAATTTAACCAGTGATAATTAAAATATCAGGACGTCACAAGAATTACAAACTCAAATCTTGAAAAAAAAGACAGGGAAACAGTCAACATGAGCACACAGATAAGCAATAATGAAAACACTTCAACTAGTAAGCACTAAGAAAATGGTTGGAAAATTGTCTTACAAACGCAAACAGTGCTAATAGAACTAAATATGAGTTTAAATCCCGCCTCTGGCAAGATAGACGCAGAAGAAATCTTTCATGTCAAAGTGTGGAAAAATTAACCTTATTTCAAATTCCTCGGTTAATCAGCACAATAAAGACTGACTTTCACTCTCATAATACATCTCTGAACATGATTTGTTCCGCAACTATAACAGGAAAAAATTTTCTCTACTCTATTCGCTGCCAATACAGTAAAGTAAGAATATTTTTATTAAAACTCCCTAAAATCAAAAATCAAATATACGATAAGCCCCCAACTATAGTGGCTACTTTCGAAACGTCTATTCGATAATGAATTATCACTTGACGACTTTTAGTTAGACAGTAGATTGTAGGAATGTGCTTTACCAACAACATCTGGGCACATGGAATCTATTTTCAGTCTGAGTCACGAGGACTTCATTGAGAATAATGTGCAAATCTCCATCCATTTCCTTCATCAACATGCAGTCGTCACCGGTCATACCCCAAGTTCTGTGGGCTCCCTTTTCGACTAATCTTCAGCAATCCCAAACATATCAAGAACAAGCGGGCCGAGTATCCCCAACTACACCTAACCAGGTGGTCCTAATACTGATTTACAACCATTCAAATCCAGAAACAGTTAGCATTACTGCAACTCCATATCCTAAAACAAAAAAATAACTAGACCTCTAGCAAAAAGTTTTATAACTTCAAGAAAAGAATCGCACGAGAATCTATAATGATTAGGAGTATTTGAATTATAGTGAAAATTGAGAATCCCGGAAATAACGTAGTCGGATCAAGAAGTACTAGATAACCACAAACGAATGGACTGTATTTAGAATTCGAAATCAAGCATTCAACAAGTATAAAGGAATCATTAGTTCTTTCGAACACTACAGAGTCGTTTTCAACTGCTTCAGTTGTTCCTCATAAGCTTAATAAGGTTGAAAGTTGATCGCTTCATTGTTTACAAAATAACTAGTAACATGAACCCTCACGACGAGTGCCCTCTGCCTGTAACTTATAGCAACGAACTTTCCGGGTACTTTTATCCAAGAATGTGATTTAAAGTATGACACAGATCTACTCATTTATAGGCTGTTTTTCAACATATTGTAGCGGTAAATAAATCCCCAAAATAAATAGCTCTGTAAGTTTTCGACATTGGATGCTGATCATATGTTTTAGTGGACTCATCTAGCTGAAGGCGCTTGGTCATGCATCCGCACCAGATCACATGTGTTAACGCTGTGCTCAACATCTACCGCAATCGCTAGCCAGATTAGATCAGACAATTCCGACATACTGGTAATCGCCAGATACACTCTCCCGATCTCCTCGACTCTGTCTTTTGATTTCTCTCGGTGGGTACAAATTATATTAGGTGTTGCTGGTAAAAGCGTTATCAAACACTGAATACCTGTGTCATCTTCAATATCGTCGGCAGGTGCGAACACAATTCGCTGATTAAACAACTTCACTATAGATCTATTACATGACTTGTATGCTTACATACTGCCTTAAGTCGGTCGAAATAATGTGTGAACACATAAGACAATAAGATGTCCCACCTGTCAGCCTAACCCATTTCACATCACGTGCTATTTGTACTTTTGTTCCAGGTCCATTATTTTACTCATTTTGACTATATTCCGTTTAGTTAATTACTTACATCTTATCTTCCTATCTCTTTTGCACTCTTTGTCAGGGCTCTGATTCCAGTATCACAACCTCAATAGGGTCGACCAACTATTGTTTAATGAACTGACATCAGCTGTGGCTAAGGACTATTTTTCCCAAGGGAAAACCTACTCCCTGCCATCAATATTTACTAAGTACGTGTCGTAATCGTTAACAATATCAAAACAAAGTAACTGTACAAACTTCGATAGACAGATCTAAAGACAGATAAATTCACTAATAATAACATTACACAACATCAGAGAAACTTTATCAAAAGTTGATGTGATAGATTATGAAGAACCCTTAACAATAACAGTCTCTGTATGTTTTTAAAATTCAATTGATTGAGGGTAAGTTATTCATCATGTCCAAACTCTACCTCGGATAATTTATTGTTTACAACACATCTCTAAGTTTATTTACACCAGTTTTTCAAGGTTGCCACTAAGCACGAACTTAAAGTTGATGGCGGACCAAGTGTTTTATGGTGAACTAGCGATATTAGGGTAGGAAATTCACTTCAGTTTAAAAAGATTTTCAATTTGAAGTGCTCCTCACTGTTTGTATCCGTGGCACCTTGTTTTTTTATTAATATAACTCTACTATCACAAATAATGAATATGTTCAGTCTTCAGTAATAAGGATAGTAGGTTGATGAACCTGTGTTAATCCTGACACATTGCTTTCCAGTGAAGGTCCAGCTTTTCCTTGAAAGTATTCACTGATGGGGCTGATACCACTTGTTCGGGTAAGGCGTTCCAATGATTGACTACTCGATGAGAAAAACGGGATCCCACTTTAAGTTTATTAGATCGTGGTTTATGAACCTTCTTGCTATGACCTCGGAGATTATTAGTGCTGGAGGGAGCAAAAAGATAAGACATATTAACACCCAAATCATAATTAAAGATACGAAATGCCAGTATAAGGTCACCTCGTGTCCTACGATACGATAAGGGGAAAAGATTTAGGCGTTTTAAGCGCTCATCGTAGGGGAGTCTAGAAAGACCCTTCACTAATTTCGTTCCCACACGCTGGACACGCTCAAGGGAGTTGGTATCCTTTACTTGACACGGGCTAGCTGCTTGGATACAGTACTCTAAATGTGGTCTAACATATATGGGATATAAAATTCGAAACGTTTCCTCGTCAAAAGATTTGAACGCTCGGCGAAGTGACCATAACGCACGAAAACCTTTGACAGCGGCTGCTTTGCAATGCGCAGTTGTTTTTGAGTCATGACTTAATATTACTCCTAAGTCCTTATGCTCTTGAACGCATGGAAGAGGTTTATCATCAATAGTATAACGGTAACTATTACCGTGACCGATGTGCATTAGTACACTCTTCCTAGCATTGATTTCTAAGCCCCACTCTCGAGCCCATCTAACTAAATCGTCTAAGTCAGCTTGAAGATCCACATGATCAGCCGCACTTTTTATTGTTCTCCAGATTTTTACATCATCTGCAAACAATAATGTCGACGACCTAAGTAACAGTGGTAACTCATTAACGTAGAGAAGGAAGAGCAGAGGGCCTAGTACTTTCCTTTACAAATCTCATAATAATATATACTGTTCCGTCGTTGTTGCGACTGTATCCTTTAACTAGATAGCTCGTTTGTCGGTGTATACCGTGCACTAGTAGTTGCTGATATAGGACTAAGTTGGCGATTATTCAGTGATCAAACTTCGGCCGGGATCATCCTATGAAGGCTGGTACACTTACAAATATCAGACGAAACTATTAAACAAAAGTAAATCGGCCGTATAAAACTCGATTTTTCGGGCATACCAAGCGTCATGCCCAGAAAGGGGCACACTTGTTTTCTTCATTAAGCATCACTTGATCGACCGGTAAGAGTGGACATCCCAGAGAATTCCACGTCGTGCATTATTTGCCGAACCTGGGACAGGTTGGAAAAGGCGGAGAGATGGTCAGTATATGACATGGTGTCGTGGCATGAAAGAAAGCTGCAAAGGACTGGCTTGTGTTGGACTCCCTGGCTGGGGTCCGAGAAATGGTTCTACACAGTGGCTAGAGACGTTATCAGATATGACTCAGAATAGAAGCCAGTGGCGATCCTGCTGTAACCTTCTTTTACTTTCTTCATAAAAAGTGGTTATATGTTCCTTAACTGAAAGATTTGTTCTGATTGTACCTTTCCCTTCCCCCATTATTACCACTATTATTAATACACTACCTTATACTAATCTCTTCCTTATTGTTCTTTTTTACCCTCCTCGCCATTTTTATTTTTCCTTCTCTTTAAATCCTAATTGTTTTGTGTGGTGCATATATATTTGGCGCACTCTTGTACCAATATTTGTGTTCAAACAAATAATAAAAATAAATAGTAGACTAGGGTTAGGTGAATATTCTGTATGATAACGTAGAATCTGTCTTCTGTTCAGTTGAGAATACCTTGTCAAAACAAACATTGAAATTTTCGTCATTGTTAGATGGGAATTAGGAATCTCATACATCACACTCTTCAGACAAAAATTCCATATTCTATGCGCTCAATTAACGTGGTTGGTTGGCAACAGCTGTCATATAAGATTACTAAACAAGACCACTTCGTAAATATCGTGTTTTGAATCTTGCATTTGCTACCAAAGACTGGATCTCCAGATGTCAGATGTGATTGTTATACCCCGAAAATTAGTCACATTATTTCAGGTATTTTCTACGCTAGTATCCACTTACTGACAATCAGAAAGGCTTCAAAGAATTGAAAGTGACAATAAAAGTATTAGAAACGTGTAAAAAAAGGTGGTATGCTAATGTTAGCGTAAAGGAAAAATTTACCAGTTTCTTTTTAAAAACATAAATCCAGACGCTTGACAGCTATGACTTCGGGAAATCCCGAAAGACTGGAGTTCGATTGTTTGCTAATCATCTAGAAAGTCTGATGTGCCAACTTGGTGTCCTTTGTCGAGATATCTTGAAGTAGCACTACTGGTAGCCTTTTTAATCTGTATGGCAGACTTTTTAAAATACATTCTATAAACCGAACATAGGGTCTTCTTTCATTCAATTCATATTATTCTACTTGATTCTTTGTTTTTTCTTTCTTCAAGATATCAAACGTAATTATCTGTGTTAAATTTCACAATTGTAGCTCACACAATGTCATGATTAAATCTAGCGATCTTTACTAAGTACATTCACTAGAAACGATATATAGTTTGCGTATATACTCATCAGCTTTTACTAAATTCTACTGTCCACAACGCGCCAACAGTACACTCAGTCAACAACCAATTATTATAAGCTTGGAAATTTCCCAACTCCTCTAGAGATTTATTTATGGAATATTAATTCCCAATATAGTTTATGGTTCACAGTCTTTTCTTAGTATTTAGACGGAAATATTTGGTTGAAATTCTACTTAGCACTTTCATTCCATTTAATTGGCGATTCTCAAACTTGTTGTTTCCGTGAAACTCATGGTGACTTCAGTTTCACAAATCCACTTTTCTCTCTTAAAAGAGTAATATTTTCAACTTTATTTTACATATTGTTAGAAACAAACCTTCACAATCCATACAAATAGTGATTTCACTCAAATATCCAGACGTTTGCGTCAACGAAGCAAATGACAGTACTCACTCAATTGGTAGATGCAATGCAGGTGTAGTTATTCCAATTAGTTAAGATATGGAGTAGTAATTAGCATTGATTTTTGCTATTATTCCGATGTTTTGCATTTAACATTGAGCGAAAATATAATAGTTAGATTAAACATGCCTTGTTACCTTGTTATTTTCCTTCTGTATCAAATTATAGTTATCTGTCCTTGGAAATGTATCAGCACTTTCTACCCCTTTTCTCGTTTTTATTCTTTTTATATGCACTTGAGCCTTTATCGACTGACGGTTTTATCACATAACGCATCTTATTGAGTGCATCAAGTTTTGAATGTTGGATAACCACTACTAAATCTAGTTAGCAGGTTTTATCATTCATTTTGTTACATCGGCGAAGAGTGACTAACCAAATGTTGTTAAATTCACCTAAGTCTACTTTGTTCGTCTCACTATAAGTCTCCTTTAACCATTTTAAAAAATTTTAACAACTGTGCTTGTAGTCCATTATTACCAAAGGAATTTAGATTTCGTACTACTCAATTTTTCAATGCTCTTCATTTTTAGTCTTAATGGTGCTTTGGCTGAGTCTGGAAATACTGCACGACACACATCTAAAATATCTTTGTTCAAACGTCGTGAAGCAAATGGAGTTCGACCTGGACCCGTGAACAAGGTTCCTAAAGCTAGAAACTCAGTCGTAAGTTAACAAAAATAACAATATCATGGATGTATGATGAATTATACCGTATGACGTATACCAATTAGTAACCTTAGCCTTCAAATAATCACGAATTTGATTTAGTGTTTTATAATCGGAAATCGTCATAGATTGAAAAATCATTGCAAATCGAAATTCCTGTCTTTCTTATATTGAGAGCCTTCAACCTACGGGTTAAAGAATCATTTATTATTATTATTTAAACACATAAACATTGGTACAAGGAGGCACCAAGTAGATATGTGCCACATAAATCATTCAATTTGTGTGTGGGCTGTGATACTGCTCGGGTGCCCAGACCGAAGCAGGTGGTTTCCTTAGGGAACCACACCCCGAGCGTTTGACCTAAAGGTCTGATCCATAAGGCAGTGGAGCATCGTGAGGAGATGCAGTCCCATGGTAGCCGGTGACCAACGATTGGTTCATACCCCATTTGTTCCTTGAGGATACTGGAATCCATGTGCACCATTGGTTTGGGGTCCGGTTAAAGCACCGGACATTTGCTTTACGTCCTCTCAATTTCGTAAACAACACCCCCGCCATGAGAAGGCAGTGAGTAGGACTTCCCTGGCGGAGGCTGTATACGCGTGGCCATGTGAGAGCATTTCGAGAGGGAGGGCGGACTCTCCCCACTCTCGGCCATACCAGGGCATTTAGGGGCGTTAAAGAATAAACTTTTCAATGGATAACTAATTAATCTTGTTTGTCATCTCCCAGTTAATATGACTGAAAATATCGATTACAAGAATCCTTTAACCATTTTTTTGAAGTAACACAGAGATATCACAGCTCACGGACGGTTTTCTTGGTTTGATAAAAACAGCGGGTATACTCAGATATGTTAAAACAACATATTACTTATAAACAGAATTGTGCCCTCATGGAGTAGTCAGTGGGATACTCACAAGGTCTTTTACATGTTCATTAATAGTACCATACTGTATAACTATAACTTCGTAGTTAAAAATGTGTTTTGGATATTGATCAATCTGAAACTGTAGCAGATAAGATGCTCTATATAAATAAGCCATTTGTTCATGGTAACAGCTATAAATACATTTCAGAGTAGATAGGCGCTAACGAGGAGTTATTCAATAAGTTCCCTATCCAAATCTATATGCCTTAAGATGTCGGTCCCTATGACAGAGGTATAAAACGAATATGGTGTTGTTGCAGACATTTAAGGTCATTACAAAAAACATCAGTCCGATGTCATGTGTTCAATTCATTGTTGTTTGTATATTATCTGTGTCGTAATACTGTTATGTCTAACAATGGGTTATTGATTAAATCGTTTGACACTGAACTATTAGGTTGCACGTTCGAGACTGCCCCATTTATCTCAGTTCCGTTAGCTGAAAAGCACCACTAGCCTTCATGTACATTGGAGAGTGTAATTTAAAGCTGCGTATCTGAGTTTGTATTCAGTTACTGAATTCCGACTACAAAAGAGCTACGTAATATTAAAGTTTAAAAAAATAAAAAATATCGTTTTTATGAAAAGCACAACTATATTTCAATTAAAAAGTTGATTTTTCCATGGTTCGGCAATTTTATCTCCTTATCTATCAAGTTTAATTGCAAGTTTTTTTTTAAAGTTCTGAAAATTATTGATTTCAGTTTATGCACATTAATTCGGTTTATGTTGCCTTGTTTGCTTATATACTTCAGACGTATGTGTAAATAGAATTACGAAAAATTCACATACTTGTTTGCATAAATTGTTTCTTAAAATAACAAAGAGGACAATAGAGCGGAAAAAAGGAAGTTTCAATTCCTGTGTAATTTATACATTATACTTTAAATCCAAAAATTCACCGATTCAAAATTATCACAAGATAAACTCACATTTACCTCGAACCTAAGAAATGAATTGGTAGCTTGGTGGTAGAAACGTTTGACATACAATCACTGACTCGTATGTTCAAACCCTTTTTCACTCACTGGATAGCATCATAATCGTTCGTACATAAAATTTTGATTCGTTACCAAGTGCATTAAACTATACTTGTTACATTTAACTTTAATTGTCCATAGTTTTCAACCAAAGTGGCATTGAAAGGTATGGATTTTATAATCTTCCATACAATATCGTCACTTCCTCATTTAAACAAGTTTATTGTAATTGGTTGGTAAAATAAATTCCAGCTCTAACATTCATCGATTCATGATCTTAATCAAAAACTTAAAAATCTCTACAACCCCACACTGAAAACACCGATTCTGTTGCCCTGTTACATTTGTTTATAAATTGTTCGGATTTAAAAATCAAAGTGGAATCGACCAGTTGACATTATTTTATTCACATGAATAAATTATTTACAATAATCAGCAAGGATTAATGAATTATCTACTTCTATACTGATATTTTCGAGCAAAAGTATACAACGCTTGAGATAGAAAATGAAGCAAATAAACTCTATACTGATAATAATCATGTCTTCACTTATGACTAGGTTCTAGATGCAATACTCAAAGTAAGAACTCGTGGCTGATGGAGTCTAACTATATCGGCTGTGAGACAGGTATTCACTACAGGCAATACAATGTTGTCTCACAGCTAACATTAATAGAAATTGTAATCGGTGTATACTTTTTAAATTTACGGTGGAAGTTTCAAAAGACAATAAATGATCAAATAATTTTAAGGTTAGAAATTTTGCTTACTTATCATTAAAGCTAATTTTTCTATATTTCTCAAAAGCCATACGCCCAAAGTACACCCATTTTTCCGTGTGTGCTATTATTTTCTGAGTCATTGTATCAACTCAAACAGATATGACTCTCTGGTAATCTTATTTCCCTATGAGTCTGACATGATACGATATGTAAACACCCTATTTCTTATTTTATTTTATTTTATTTGAACACAAATATTGGTACAAGGAGGCCCCAAATGCCCTGGTATGGCTGAGTGTGGTGGGCCTGCCTTCTCTCTCGAAATGCTCTCACATGGCCACACGTATACAGCCTCCGCCAGGGAAGTCCTACTCACTGCCTTCTCATGGCGGGGGTGTTGTTTACGAAATTGAGAGGACGTAAAGCAAATGTCCGGTGCTTTAACCGGACCCCAAACCAATGGTGCACATGGATTCCAGTATCCTCAAGGAACAAATGGGGTATGAACCAATCGTTGGTCACCGGCTACCATGGGACTGCATCTCCTCACGATGCTCCACTGCCTTATGGATCAGACCTTTAGGTCAAACGCTCGGGGTGTGGTTCCCTAAGGAAACCACCTGCTTCGGTCTGGGCACCCGAGCAGTATTACAGCCCACACACAAACAAAGTGAAATGACGATATAATCAAGATTATCAAATTATTTTCATAAAAGTGCACGAAATTGAACCTGAACTCTTAAAACCAAAAATTAGGAATTGTGTTTATTCAACCTGTATATGATATTTCCATTGTCTTTCGCACGCATAAATTCACAAGTTTTATAACTTACCACCCGTGAACAACACCTGACATGCTTTAATTACTGAATCCGCTTTTAAGACTCACTACTAATTAGTGAAATTATTCAATTTTCTCCCTTTTCCTGAACTATTAATGCATGGGTTCAGATTAGTACCACTTAATTCATTATCAATAAGTCTTCAAGGATCTAACTATGATTTAACTTTTTCTACTTGTTTACCTGATTTATTCTTGGTTTACATAGACCGTTTGAATCGAAAATTTATTTGGTCGGTGATTAGATATGTTCATGTTTCTTTCAATGAATTTTTAAATATTAATTTTAGTCTATTTATAACCTTATATGGCTTTTGTTCATATATATATATACTGTTTATTGAATTCTTTATTTGTACCAAATACCACTGCAGAAAATATTGCTTAAAATATCACTTGAGTGTTATTATTTAACAAAAATATTAGCATATTTTAAGCTGAGTTAGCTTATGTTTTTTGGATTTTTTTATTAAGTATTGATCGGTTATCAAATACAGATTAATGTGCCGGAGCCCACAGAATTGTAATATCACTAAATTGTTCAAACTTAATTAGGTAGTTTTGGTTTCAAACCTGCAACCTACTGGTTGAAAGCCGAGTTTTAGACATTATTTCACAGATTCACCTATAACTTATAGGTTTTTGAAAATAGTTTTTCATCACAAACACTAAGGAGCACTCAAAATAAATATAAATTTAGAGCAATCTAAAGATTGTTACTTGTTATTGTATTCCAGTGTATGATCTTCAAAGCCTGGGAATATGATTTATCCTAAAACCATGTTTTTCTTCCCCACTCTTTGCTATCAAATACGGCTATATAATATCGGAGTTGTTAGATTCGATTCGGGATAACGGAATAAAACTACATATATACACTCCATGTATAGTGTAATTTTATTAGCAAATTTAATATTTAGCGGATGACATGTTATTGACTACTGATAATTTTGGCATCGTTTTTCTATGTACATTTGAAGTAAAAATAAAAGATTTGTAGTGATTCCTATTTCATTTAATTAATCCCAACATTTATTAAGTAATTCAGGTGTTTATTCGATATGATCTAGTTTTCTTAACTTCAGTTGATTATATCTATTGATGTTAGAGAGATTTTCTGTCAATCCTTCCTAATTATATTGATTTTTGTAACTTCCTATCTATTTTCCACTATGGAAGTCACTATCTAAGTCTCAAACCATTATCTATCTGGGTTTTTTTTGTTTCTTTCTATATTACCTATGTGATACATAACCTACTGAGAGTTCAACTTTCGTTAGGTTATTAATTATATTTTCTAATTATGTATTTGATATACATGTGAAACTAAATTATAATGTACTATGTTGAATTATGCTTTTCGATTGACCGCATATCAACAGTTTATTGACTATTGATTTTTACTGATAATTCAGCAGTGTTAGCATTTTTTTTGTACCAGAAATGTGCAAAATAATTATAGATTTTTATTAGCCATCACTCATTAGATCCTTTTTCTCAAAATGTAAACTAATAATGTTTTTTTTTAACATGTAATTCATTTGAACCTTTTATTTTCAGTTTCTATTAAATAAATACGTTGAGCACTTATTCTTAACCACATATTTATTATTTAACGATCGAATAGTCAATGAATTCATAGTTCAACAAATATAATACTTGGAATTCAACTTTTAGATTATTAGTTCAAATTCTATTTGATCTGGCAAACTTTGAATAGTGCAGTAGTATTTTTATCATATCACATATTAAACTCAGTAGTGTATAAACTGTTAGAAAGTTGATTAAGCATATCATTGCATTAAATTAAAATATACAAATCTCAAAACATATTATGCAAACAATTCTGTTATATTAACTGATTATTTCATAATAATGGATCATGTCATCTTCAGAATGTTTCAAATTATTCCGATGATACTAGTTTTTATTTTACTCCTTAAAATATCAGTGATACAGTTTATCGGCTTATTCAGTATGTCTTCCTTCCTGTCATATTTAAGTGTACGCACATGAGATGTTATGGCCATTATTGTATTGATGTCTAATAGTTATCATTTTGAAAATGATTCTTTAAAAATATTCCTCGTAACGTAGTAGCATCCAACAATACAGTCTTGTATACTACTGGTACTGATTACCTAGGAATATAGGGATTCCTTCTAAAAAAAACAATGTGAATTCAGTTTAGAATTAATGAATAGGTATATGTAACCGAGTTTAAGCTTAACGGCTTAATTGCTAAATAAGTGAACTATATTATATTATAGTTTACCTCTCTGTTAATCAATAGAAAAGAAGTAATAATGTCTTTTTACTAGCCGTCTTCTATATGTAAGGTTCATTTTCAATGCGTTTATTATTGCATTACTTCAGTATCAAATACTCCTATTTAAGTTAAATGACAACTTTTAGTTAAACAGTAAAATTGACGAAACACCAATAAAGTAATATTTTGTTTTTAATTAATTTATCGTCATTTATGTATCAGATATTTTTAGAATAATCAAACTTTATTTTATAACTTGTCCGTTTTTGAATAAATGCACTTTACTATCCACTAAGTAAATTGATTGATAATTGAATTTTTCTCAGTAAATATGTACATGTTTCGGTATCCGGATACGATCCCGAACAGTAACTATTTAACCTTTTAGAGTTTAAAAAGTAAGCATGTAGAGTTGGCTCTTCAGTACAACTAACTATATGATACAAAAATCTAATCTATGTGACATTAAATTAGACATTAAAAACTTAACTTCATAGGGGTAAATATTGATCGCTGAATATTTTTAATTAAGCTATGTGTTTACTCTGCATTCTTTTGTTTTCTTAAGGACCCACATGAGAAATAATAGAAAAACACTTACTATATCATCAACGTTTTGCTCATTTACGTACTGAACTTATAAATAATTAAGACTGTTTAAAGAGTTATAAGTAGAACAGCTACTTTATCAAAATTGAGATAGTGAAAATTTGTAGCTCAGGTGGATGATTTTGATGAAGAGGTGGTTCAGTCGTGTAACCTTGATCGTTCTTCTCAACGACATTATCAGCACGAACTCCAGGTAGAAGGAAAGTATTCGATTTTCGCCACATATGACTCACATCTTGTCCCCTCGATCTCGATTGGTCATTATCGACCTCTAACTTGTCATTACCTGCCTCTTTATTTTTGTCGTATCTCCCTTTGATCTGATTTTTGGTCCTACACTTGTCCATGACTTTTCTGATTGGTTGGTAAACTGGATCGATTTCGACGTGTTTGTTGATTGACCTGAATGCCAAGCTTCTAAGAACTCCCTGGTGGTGTTAGTATTCCCTTCATCGAAAATTTCGATATTGATTCAATCGAATATGTGTCCACATGGAGTGATATAAGTGAGATATATATACTCATCCCCTTAAGCTGTCGATATATAATTTTTTTAGTTATTTCACCTCTAATGTTCAGTGTTTATTGATTCATGTAAACTGAACTAGTAAAATCTACAGTTTCCTAATTCTGTGCTGTTATTATTGCCTTGGCTGATAAAAACTACTTTCTAAACCAAAAACTGTCCTTATAATTTTGTATGTTATCTTATAAGACTGAATTTTTTAATCTTCAGTTATTATCTTTCATGATGGTTCTACACACACACCAGTTACAACTGAAGTCTTCGAAAACATAGTAGATTTTGAAACCTTCAAATCTGTCTTATGACTTTAAATTACAATTCTCTTCAAACAGTGCCATCATCATGTGGTTTCACAACATTTTTTGAACTTATGAATGTTGTATGAACGAATTAATGTCTTATGTTTTCCCTAAATACACACCAATTTTACGCTTTCTTTTTCAACTTTATTCATGTCTCCCATAATTCACTTGATTTTCGTCTTATTGGTTCCTGTGTAGTGTATGCTAATTATGCTGACATATGTAAGTAGTATGTAGCTGCAATCAGGAGTGGACTGCCTGTCAGCGGAAGAGTAAATTAAGAAGAATAGGAATAGAAATAGAGAGCGATTGAGGTAACAACAGACTTGAAATAATTCTGAAGTACGTAAAGGATAACTGAAGGAAGATGTACAAATGATATACTTAATGTATGATTGTCATATTTTATAAAGTCACTATGTAAATTGGTTTTCCTCACCTGAGTTTCCGTTCACTACACCTGTAGTTAAAATTTCCTAAAATTCCGGAATTTCGTTTTGTAAGTAATTTTCTTGAAGCGGTTGGACAAATACGAGCACTCATATAACATTGTACATATGGTACTTTTTATTGAATCCAACCTTTTATTTCACTTCATTTAGCCATATAGCCTATTTAACAAATAGTGAAAGTGCATCAATCATTTACTTGAATTTCATCGGTTACTTATTCATTGAAATTAAAGTGATGAAAACTTTTCATTGTGTTACGTACTCTGAGTTGTATGGTTTAATTACCAATGTTTCGTTATCATTCTAGACAACTTTATCAACTCGTACGTCAAGTAGATGATATTGTTCAGAACAATATTGGAAGCATTGCAATTAAACTAAAGAACACAATGCAAATCATCTGAGCTAAAAAAATAATCTCCATCATGATAAACACTATATGGTGATGGACTTTGATTAACTTATTAACTGAACTAAAGTAAATGAGGTAGATACTCGAAAACCATCTGTTTCACTTCTGTGTACGTCAACAATAAGTTTTATTTATTTCATCAAATTATATTCTAAACTGTAAATCATTATTACATTACTCTTTTTGCTTCTTCATGATTTTGTTGAATGATTTTAAAATGATTGACTAGAAAGAAAATACCCTTTTAAAGAAAATATATTTACTTGATTCTCATGCTATTTAACACTTATTAACAAGTTGTATTATCTACCACCTTCCACAAAACATACTGTTTCAATAATACGACTTTTCGTATGATGTTGAATGTTATATATATATATACCTCACATCGACTTTTTTGGAGGGATTTTTATAATAATTATTTAAGTTTTATTTCTCCATTTTTAGGCAGTGACAAATCGGAATACACCTGCCATCTCGTTTACTTTATCGAGGAATGTTACAGTAGTTGTAGAATATGTGCCTGATCCTAAAGTGGACATGTTTCAGGTGATTCTCATAATTGTCTAATATATTCACTTTTTTCATTCAATAAAATGTAGATTGTATTCCTTATTGTTTAAAACTCTAGCTTTCAGCAACAGTTGACGTTATGTTAACATTACACTTCCATTGAAATGACTTTTTTGTTTAATAAAGTTGTTTAGTTTTACTTCAGAGTATTAAATTTGTGATTTTACTATTCGAGCTCTTCACTTTCAAGAACTGCACTACGAGTTTGAATAATGCTCAACCTACTCAGTTTTGAGTAACTCGAAACCTAGTATGTTAGATTGCGTTGAAATCGAACACAAACACAACAGATGTAGATCCCAACTGAACAGCCTTCATACAACTCATTTGATATCAGCAAAATAGCCTAGAAATATTTTAATTCATGTCCAAAGTTAGTAACATTCGACATTAGATTGTACACCTTTTTATAGCAATTTTCTCACTCATACAATCGACCGAACTCAAAAGTATCCTCATCTTTCGTATTAACTTTATAGTTTAATTTGAAGTACAATAATAACTGTCTATTTTTTATAAAGTTAGAACTTTTGATTGTCTCCAGTTCAATGTTTTTGCAACATTTAATTTTATTTATGTATTGCTACGTACTTTGATTAATACTTTTTGTAGATTGGTCGAAGTACTGATAATCACATAGATTTTGTTGTATCCGAACCAAAACCGTCAGTTAGTCAAAATGATCAGCAGCACGTCAATCATAGTATTAATAATAACAATAATAATAAACAGTGTAAAGATAATTCAAAAGATCCCAATCGTGGTAATTATGAAAGTGCAGTTTCACGTTTTGCTTGTCGTATTCATATTGATCGTGATCCACCTTACACTGCTCGTTTATATGCAGCTGGATTCGATGCATCAAATAATATTTTTTTAGGGGTAAGTGGAGTGTTTTCTTTATCATTCAGTTTAAAATGTCAAAGCTATTCATGTTAACAAATAAATTAGCTCATTCTTGATCTAAAAAGAATTCATATTATTGATGTATACTATTGGTGTTAAATAATGTATATCATGTTGAGGTTGTTATGATCTCTGAGCTGAATGGATTGGTTGAGAAGCTTTCATGTTTCGTTTGAACAATATCATCAGCACGTACTCCAAAGAGAAGCGAATTATTAGAATCCCATCACAACTGAATAATAGCTTGTTCTGTTGACCTGAAATTTGATTGCTTTTTTATCTAACTGTGTGGCCGTTGCTTCTATGTTCTTTTTAGTTGTTTTCTCTCTTAACTTGAATTATGACCTTGCCTTTGTTAATTCTTTTTTTTGTTGGTTGAAGTACTTGTTGACAGTGCTGCTCAAAAGAGTGATGAAAGGTTCACAACCAATCCATCTAGCTCAGAACTCACAACAGCTTCAACATCCTCGTCATGAAGTACAAATATTCTCCATCATATAATATACATCAGTATATGGTATTGTATTATATAGCGTATTACTGTTTTCAGATGGGACTATTTGTAGTCTATCAAGAACAAATTGGACTAATTAAAAGTAATCAGTGGAGTAGAAAAAGCTTGCTGAAATAACGTTGTTCAATAAGTCTAATTATTTGAAGTTCTCTGTTGATTATAACACAAATCCAAATCGTACTGGTAAACTCTGTTGCAATCCATACCTATTGTCTGAGATTAACACCGCTACCGTGCTAATCAAATTTTATTAGGTGACTCCATCAACAAAATCCATGTGTTGAGATGATTGAACTACAATATTACACCGATAAACAAACTGCGACAACCGCCTGGCCATTAGCTTGCGTCAATTTGGCTAATAACTTGGAATCACTAGTGTTACTAATTTTCAATTACATATATCCGTCATCAGTATTTATAGTATAACAAGAAATATTTTGTTCGTAGTCCGCTGAATGTTGACGTGTAGACAAGTTTTCTAATTTGACCAGTTTTTTTTAATTGAAGACATTCAGTTGTGAAATAATCATCGAATATTGATCTTTCAGGCACTTGGATTATTGTTTTTTTTTCTGAATTGGCCAATTACAAAAGCTTACTTTACCCAATCCGTTAGGTAAATCCTACATATGTTTTCATTCTAGTTTGCCTAGTTTATAAACTTAATGGTTGGTAGACTAATTAACACCAAGGTGTATAACACAAGTTTTAATCCTTTCTATAACAGATAGTTTGTGGACATGATGAATCATCTCGTCAAATATAAAACTCAGGTTAATTTGCTCCCCTACAATGGTTTCCTAGCCTGAACTTACTGTATGATAAGATTTGAAACAATTGGTTATGTGTTTTCTAATACAAAATGCTAAAAATATGTGAGAAAACATTTTTACTGATTCCCTACAAATTTCTGAAACGCAACTATTTTTTAAACATTTATCAACAGTAAACTGGTATATCACGCTGTTATATTCAGTTTCTTGTAAATAACTTCAATACAATTATCCTAAGACAAATGATAATTACTTACTTACTTACGCCTGTTACTCCTCGTGAAGGAGCATAGGCCGCTCACCAGCGTTCTCCATCCAACCCTGTCCTGGGCAATCCTTTCTAGGTCCGTCCAGTTGTAATTCGTCGTTTTCATATCTGCTTCTATTATCCGACGCAATGTGTTCTTTGGCCTTCCTCTTTTTCGCTTCCCCTCAGGATTCCAAGTTAGGGCTTGCCTCGTGATGCAGTTTGACGATTTGCGTAATGTATGTCCTATCCATTTCCATCGTCTTTTCCTAATTTCTTCTTCAGCTGGAAGTTGGTTTGTTCTTTCCCACAGAAGGCTGTTGCTGATGGTATCCGGCCAATGGATGTTGAGTATCTTGCGAAGACAGCTATTTATAAATACTTGTACTTTCTTGATTGTGGTTGTTGTAGTTCTCCAAGTTTCAGCTCCATACAGTAGAACTGCCTTGACGTTCGTATTGAAGATTCTCACTTTGATATTGGTTGAAAGTTGTTTTGAGTTCCATATGTTCTTCAATTGTAGGAATGCGACCCTTGCTTTGCCGATCCTCGCCTTTACGTCTGCATCTGAGCCTCCTTGTTCATCGATGATGCTTCCCAGATATGTGAAGGATTCTACATCTTCCAGAGTTTCGCCATCAAGAGTGATTGGATTGCTGTTCTCCGCTTTGAATTTGAGGACCTTAGTTTTCCCTTTGTGTATGCTGAGGCCTACTGATGCAGAGACTGCTGCTACACTGGCTGTCTTCATCTGCATCTGTTCGTGTGTACGTGATAGGAGGGCTAGGTCATCTGCGAAGTCCAAATCGTCTAATTGATTCTGAGCTGTCCATTGTATTCCGTGTTTTCCTTCAGATGTTGAGGTCTTCATAATCCAGTCGACCACCATAAGAAAAAGGAAGGGAGAGAGTAAACAGCCTTGTCTGACTCCGGTCCTTACTTGGAATGCATCTGTCAGCTGTCCTCCATGCACTACTTTGCACTGTAGTCCGTCGTATGAGTTTCGGATTATATTGACAATCTTCTCAGGAATTCCGTAGTGTCGAAGAAGTTTCCATAACGTCCTCCTGTCTACACTGTCGAATGCCTTTTCATAATCAATGAAGTTGATGTATAATGATGAGTTCCACTCAACTGATTGTTCGACGATGATCCGTAGTGTTGCAATTTGGTCTGTGCACGACCGATCCTTACGGAATCCAGCTTGTTGATCTCGAAGTTGGGCGTCTACTGCATCCTTCATCCGGTTCAGCAACACTCTGTTGAAGACTTTCCCTGGTATTGACAGTAGTGTTATGCCTCTGTAGTTCTCACATTTGCTCAGATCTCCTTTCTTTGGAATCTTGACGAGGTGTCCTTCTTTCCAGTCCATCGGCACTTGTTCCTCTTCCCAAATCTTTTTGAATAGAAGATAAAGCATGCTTGTGGTTGTTTCGATGTCTGATTTCAGTGCTTCAGCTGGTATGTTGTCGGGTCCTGCTGCTTTCCCGTTCTTGATTTGTCTGACGGCCATTCTAATTTCTTCCGTAGTCGGTGGATTGACATCTATAGGAAGATCTATGTGTGCTGCTTCGATGTCCGGTGGATTCATTGGAGCCGGCCTATTCAGGAGTTCCTTGAAGTATTCTACCCATCTGTTACGTTGTTGTTGAATTTCGGTGATTGGCTTGCCTTCTTTGTCTTTGACCGGCCTCTCTGGTTTACTGTATTTCCCTGATAGTTTCTTCGTTGTATCGTAAAGCTGTTTCATGTTTCCTTCTCTAGCAGCTTTTTCTGCCGTCGTTGCTAGTTCTTCAACATATTTCTTCTTGTCGGCTCTAATGCTCCTCTTCACTTGTTTGTTTGCTTCTATGTATTCAGCTTGTGCTTGTACTTTCTCTGCTCGTGTTCGGCTGTTGTTTATTGCTGCCTTCTTGTTCTTCCTTTCTTTGATCTTGTCCACTGTTTCTGTAGAGATCCATTCCTTATGATGGTATTTCTTTAGACCGAGAACCTCTTGACACGTTGAAGTTAATGCTTCCTTGATGCCTTTCCAGTTGTCCTCCATAGTAGTTTCTTCTTCTTTCAGTAGATCTCGTAAGGCTTGGAACCTGTTGTTGAGAGCTATCTTGAATTCATTGAGTTTGACAGTATCTCGAAGAAAGGCTGTATTGAACCTTTGTATTGCTGTTTGTCCACTTGTCCAGTTCTTTTTTAGCTTCAGTTTCAAATTGGCTACAACTAGGTGGTGGTCTGAAGCTACGTCAGCACCTCTCCTGGTTCTCACATCTTCCATTGTCCTTCGGAATTTTTTGTTGATGCAAATATGATCTATTTGGTTCTCTGTAGTGTGGTCCGGTGAGATCCATGTAGCCTTGTGTATACGCTTGTGTGGAAATATTGTGCCTCCTATGACCAATTTGTTGAATGCGCATAGATTTGCAAATCTTTCTCCATTTTCGTTTCTTTCTCCCAGTCCATGTCGTCCCATAATATCTTCATATCCAGTGTTGTCTATTCCGACTTTGGCATTGAGATCTCCCATCAGAATAGTGAGGTCTTTTCTTGGGCATTTCTCTATCACTGACTGCAGCCGCTCGTAGAATTGATCTTTAATGTCGTCGTTGCTATCATTGGTGGGTGCATAACATTGGATAATATTCATTAAGATCCCCTCCTTTGTTTTGAATGATGCTTTGATGATTCTGGATCCGTGAGATTCCCATCCTACAAGTGCATTTCGTGCTACTTTGGACAGCATAAGAGCGACTCCCTGAGTGTGTGGAGCATTGTCCTCTTCGTGACCGGAGTATAGCAGCATCTCTCCCGTAGCTAGCCTTTTCTGTCCAGCTTGGGTCCAGTGGGTTTCGCTGATTCCCAGTACCGCTAAGTTGTATCTCCTCATTTCCATTGATATTTGACTGGTCTTCCCGGTTTCCCACATTGTTCGAACGTTCCATGTACCTATAAAAATTTTTGCTCTGGTTGTTAGAAGGGGCATCGGCCTCGTGGCTTCCGAAGGAACTCGGCTTTCACCATGAAGCGTCATAATTCTTCTAAATGAAGACCTTCTAACTCCCAGGGCAGAGTTAAAATGGTTTGGATTATTTTTTCTGGTAAGCGTTTTTTTTAGCGAGTTAGTTTTCTACGGGATGGGGACGCTAACCCCATGCCCAACCCTCCTCCTTTACCCGGGCTTGGGACCGGCAGCAACCCTATAAGAGCTACAGGCGGAGTTACAAATGATAATTAGCTAAGACTAATAACAAATCGAAATTAATGTGCTGGATTCATGTTTCCATTGAAACTGTAGAATGAATCCAGTTAAATCAGTTTTGATGACGAATAAACACAAGTAGGATGATAAAGCCTACAGTCCAGATTCCACTAGTAACTTTTAGAAAGTATTAATTATTTGTTTATCTGGTCTTGTTTATTAAACGGTAAATATATCAATGTT